AACAGCCTCTTCACTCATCTCCTTGTGTCCATGCTTGAATACTCTCCTTTAATATCCTTCGTTCACACTGCAGTATTCTAAGATGAAAATCTGATCATCATTCTCCCTAAAGTCTTCATAGATTCTCACTGCTCTTAAGATAAAGGCAAAATTCCTTTCAAGGACACAAAGTTGCTTCCTGACCTGACCCTGGCTTACCTCCACAGCTTCATCTGGCCCCATAGTGACATACACTCACCTCTCCAGAAATGCTGGATTTGAAAGTCACAATTTCTTGCCTCCAGACTTTTCCACTTGCTGGCCCCCATGCCTAGCATCTTCCTCCCCCTGCCTCTTCACCTGGGTTTGCCCTACTTATCCTTCAGGCATATTAAACATCACTTACTCAGCTACACCTCTCCTGTCCCCTCCAGACCAAGTGATCCTGCTATGTTTCCACAGGATCTGTGCTTTTCCCTAATACTGCCCAAGGTATTGTGTATAGCTGTCCTCCCTAATGGACTGTAAACTTCATGCAGGAAAGGCCGTGTCTGCCTTCATGACTACAGAAGTGCTAGCACCTGACACGGTGCCTGGATGTAGCCAGTGTTTCGTAAATATTTATTGGCTGTTCTTCAGGCTGAGACATGCATTCCTTCAACTTTACAGACAGCAAACTCCTATTAGAATATCTACTCCTACTAAATACTCTCAGAACAAGAACTTACTAGTTTTTGACATTTTATTATAGAATTCCCTGACATAATCTCTAACTCATGGAAAATTTGGACTACTTCAACCACACTGCTCTTTAACTGAAACAGACAACCCAGTATACACATCCACATCATCACTTTTTCCTTGTGTTGTATCCATAGGATTCAGTGGTATTGCCATAAAAAAAATCTCATGTATAGACAGGTTTAGTAATTTGTGGAGGAAAGGAAAAAATAAAGGTAATTTCTACCCTTGAGACCTCACTCCAGTGCTTCTCCAGACACCCACACCTCAGCGAGTCCCTCAGAGCTAAGAAAGCTCAGTAGGAGCATTAAGGAATATTAAAAGTTCCCTCCCTGAAGAAGCATAACTGAGTCCAATGGCTAGAATTTTCACCCTGCTGATGCTGTTTGAGCCACATTAAAATTTTTTATACGTGGACATATGTGCTGGTGTTGCAGCAGATAATGACATCAAGTGAAGTTTCATACACCTCATTTATCAGAATTTTTCTCCTCTGGAAAATGAGCGGGCAGCATCCCTGGTGCGAACGTCTCATTAGGAAGCACAGACCACAGAGCTAGCAGACACTGCCACAGATCAGGCGTAGGAGCTTCAGCTGCTCCATTAACGATGCCTCTCATCTTGCTCACAGGGCCAATCAATGGTTCTCGGTCTGGGAGGCCCAAGAGGCAGTGCTTCTAAAAATCTACATATGAACTGCCTAAGGGTCCTGTGAAATGCTAATTTTGATGTTGTAGATTTGCAGTGGTGCCTAAAATTCTACAATTTTTTAGGCACTAAATTTTATATTTTCTGATGCCAAGTCTGCTGGTCTGTGGACCACTTTAAGTAGTAAGGACACACATTTTTAAAATACTGATTACTGTACCAGTAAATGTAATCAGATTCCTGAGGGGAGAGGGCTATCCAAAGAATTTTAAAGCTCCTAATGTAATTCAAATATATATTCCAGGGTTAAGAACCTGTGTATTAAATGCTTGCCTCAGAGATCCGTTAAAATGATACAATCTTGTGAGATGCATTATGTAGTAATACTTACGAATGCTATAATTAATAAAAAGACTCAATGTAACTATGAACATCAATCAAAATAGTTCTAGAATGTGGGAAAGTCTTGGGAGCCAGGGAAGTAAAGAAAAGGAGGGTTACCATACCCGAAGCACCATCCTACAGAACATCATACAACCTGGGAAAGCAAGACCCTCAGGTTGGAAGGACCCTAAGAGACCAGCTCATTCACCCTCTGCCCAACTTACTTAGTGTGTCTGAGCACTCCAGGAGACTAACCTAAGGTCCTGTTTACCTTTATTTACAAAGATATGTAAAGTGACAGCCTCTGTAGTTGTCACTTGTGTCTGCAACATCCCTTCTCACATCTCCCGTTCTACACATCCCTGGGACTAAGGGGCTCTGGATCCCAAAGGAGTCTAGATCCTAAAGGAACTCATTAAAACACAGAAATTACCCAGGACCCCTTAGGACAAATGCTCTCAGAGTTTTGGAGCAGTGATTGACTACATCACCCATCATACCTGATCATGCTTTGGTGGTGGGGGGGGGGGGTAGGGGGGGCGGTGAGGATAGACAGAAGCTCATATATGGATGCTCAATCACTGCCTGTTTAGGGAATGGACAGTAGTCCTGTGGGGCTGGAGCCTACATTTTGGGAGGTGAAGGAGGATGGTTGGAGAAGTCATAGAAACAAAGAGGGACCAGACTGTGAATATCCTAAAACATCTTACAGTGTAAGAGGCTTTATCTTGTAGGCAACAAGATGTCATCAGCTGTCTTTGAGCAAAATGTCATGAAAGACATATTTTGGAAAGATTCCCAGGGTGGCATGATCTCTCACTACAACCTAGTTCCTCATAAACATACTCGAAGGGAGAGATAAACCTGCAGCTAATAAAAATTAGAGCTCTATGACCCAACCATATGCAGATACAGAGAAAGTACTAGAGTAAAAGAGACCTCTCCCAGAGTATGTTCAAGTCAGCTTTGCACAAAGATAGAAACCTAGATTTTTCATTCCTCTGAGGTATGTCTAGCTTCTCACCTCCGTAGGAAACTTTAATAGCACCCCACCACCACTATCACCTCTATCATTCTCCATATGTGTCAGATTATCTAGTTTCCAGCTCTTTCTTACACTGCATTGATCACAAAGCCACAAGCTAGTATTTATAACTCCTTCTTCTATACTTCCTCTATATGTATGACTTCAGCTAGATGGTTTCTTTATATTCAACCTTCATTCCTTGGGAGTCTGAATCCTCAGTGTTATTGCCTTTATTGGGTTGCTGTAGTTTTCCATTATATTTTACTAAGTGGTACTCCAAAGAATCTCCTGGGTATGACAGTGCTTCCTCAATGTGTAGAGAAATTCATTTTTCTACTGTTAATTTGGATTGAATTACTCCAGACAGTATGGTAACTCCTTTGTTTGCCTGTTAGTTCAGTAACATAAAGAACTTAAAATGGCCAAGTGGCAGTCTCAGCTTCTAGTAGAATAAAACCATTAAAGCACTCCTTGGGAACTGCACCAGACACTTCTTGTGCACCACTTCAGATTCTCTTCAGACGGTCTTTTATTCCAGCTACAGCTGCGGTAACCAGTTCTGTAGACTCCAACCAGCTCTATGGAGACACAATCTAACTGCATTACCTCAGGCCTGCTCCACCTGCTTATTGCATCCTGTCATAGGGTTTTCCTGCTTCCATGGAGTAGAATACCATCGGAAGCCAGTTTAATATTCATCTGTACACAACCCGAAAGTGTAAGGAAGTTTAGGATCCATGGGCCAACCCTTAAAAAACAAGTGGTCGCAGGGCACCTAGGTGGCTCAGTTGTTTGAGCATCCAACTTTGGCTCAGGTCATGATCTTGCAGTTCATGGGTTCGAGCCCCACATCAGGCTCGCTGCTGCCAGCTGTCAGATCCCCTGTCCCCCTCTCTCTATCCCTCCCCAACTTGCACTTTCCCAAAAAATAAATATTAAAAAAAAAAAAAAGTGGGAGCTGATGAATATATGCTTCCCCGGTTTTCATTAAGGTGGATGATCCTATGATGCATTTCATCAAGTCTTATACACCCCAGTAGTGGCCAACTTAAATAAGCCACCTGGGTTACTGGTTTTCCCTTCTTTGCTTCTGTCTCTTCCCCTGTGAGGTAACAGTCCCAAATAAACTACTAGTGAATAATAAGACTTCGTCTCAGTGTCTGCATTTGGGGCAAACCAGACTACAACAGAACATAAGATCTCTAAATTAGCAGCCCAAAATTGTGGAGGTGGGAAGCAAAAATTTTGTGAGTACATTATTTGGTCTAATAATAACAAAACTCAGTCCTGCTACCACCCTTTGATTCCTGGACCCATGAATCAAAGCTATGGAAGAAATAGCACCACATATGGGTTCCTGGTTCAAAGTATATACCATATTTTAAAGGAGCGTACATGAATCTTTCTGGATGTGATCTCCCAACTGGCATCACAACTGAATCTTTGCTATAAAGCAGTAACTACAAAGCTAGAAAGGAACTTGCTATCATCTTCTGTATCCTCCTTTCATGCACCTTCTGAGGGATTCCTCCACCATGATTATTTTTCAAGCTGGAGATTATCACTCCCCTCCACTTGTTTGCTTCATAGACAGGTAAACAATAGAGATCCAAAAAATGAGGGCAGGGAGAGGATGTAGAGAGGAAAGACCAGAGTGCAAATGTATTTTAGAAAGACAGATATGAGAAGTAAAGAGAGAATTAAATGCAAATTATATATATATATATATATATATATATATATATATATATATATATATATATATATATATATATATATATATATATATATATGTATGTATAATACATGCTTACTAAATACTTTAAAGTAATAAAATGAACTTCATAGACTAACAGCTCCAGTATAATGCCTGGTAACAGTACTGATAGTGGGCACCCTTGTCTTATTCCTGACTTTAGAGGGAACGTCTCTTTATTTCCCCATTAGGCTTGATGTTGGCTTTTGTGCTGACTCAAATGCATTATTACTTCATGTTAAATAAGTATCTATTCCTATTATATTGAACATTTTTATCCAAAATGGTTAATTTTAGCAAATGCACCACTGTCATAAAAAAAAACTCTTCCCACATTTAAAAGGACTGAAATATTTTAATTCAACAAATGAAATACAGAAAAACAGTAGCTATAAAACCATGGAGATGATAACTTAATAACAAAAATGCTTTAAATTATACTATTTAAACTTCCTTCATCACTATTTAAATTTCACTCATTATATTAGTATAATACCTCATCTCAGCATCTGCAATTTTAACAAATGCTTGGAAAGTTTTTTGTTCAGAAACAGATGCTGGTCTGACAGAAACACATTTGAAAATATTCTTTTTCTGGTCATAATTTCCAACACACCTATGAACTCGGCCTCTAATCAGTCTTGGAAGTTCACGATCCTGTTTTTAAAAAAATAAATATCAATAGTTATTTTTTTACTTCATCTGAATTTCAATTTTTTGAAACTAAAAATATAATCAACTAAATATCAATCACCTCAAAATGCTGTAATTCCCTCAGCTGACTTAGAGCCCCACGGCTGACAAGACCATAATAGCTGGGCATATAGGGGTGCCCTGTCACAGAGGAAAAACCTTCACTTGCGTAGGGCTCCTTACAAGCTGGTGAGCTATTGCTTCTTAAAAGACTGAATAATTCCCACTGTAATGGCACATGAATTATTCATTTCTATTAGACTGCTAGAGTTCCACTTTTAGTAGATGGTAGACCAGGTAGTTTAGGCCAAGTCTCTAGCTAAGAACAACTAGAATAACTGGATGAAATATTTATATCTTCTTGTAGACATTAGAGAGATACCAACGCAGTGGGGGAATACAGAGACACCCATTTGGGAGAAGACAGAGGTCCAGAATGCGGCCTGACATTTAGGGATGTTTCTCACTGAGGTTCTGTATCAAGTATAGTCAAGGCAGTTAAGAGTCTAAAAAACTGAGCACAGTTTTTGACAGGCTCCCAGGACCGGGAGATAAAAAACAGAGTCAGAGGTCCACAAGGAAAAGAGATTCTGGTCACTACCTCCACCATCACCCCCAGCTTAGAGTTAGGACCCAAAAGGACCCATGCCTTAATGGGACTAGTAAAACAGGAAAAAAAAAACAGTAACAGGAAAAACACAGCCAGCATCAATTCCTCTTAACCATGAATAAAATTATTCTGGAATTGCTTTCACCAAATGGTCATAAAAAGCACTAGCTATAAGGGGTAATATTGATAATTGCTAAAAGGACTATATTAAAATGAAGAATTTCTGTTCCTCAAAAGCTACCGTTAAGAAAAAGCAAACTATAGAGTATGAGAAAATATTTGCAAGACAAATAATGGACAAAAACTTGTACCCAGAATAGTTACAAAAACAAAAACAAACAAAAAAACAAAAACAAAACCAACTCCTCTAAATAAATAAGGACGAAACAATAACTCAATAGAAAAAAAGAATAAGAGGCCTGAACAGACTTTAAAGAAGGTATCTAAGTGGCCAGTGAACATATATAAGGTGTTCAACCTCATTAGTCACCAGGGAATGTAAAGAAGTAAGACAGCACTAAACACCCCCTAGAATAGCTGAAACAAAAAAGACTGACAGTACTAAGTGTTGATAAGAATACAGAAAAACTAAAACTCACCTACACTGACTGTGAGTGTGTAAACTGGTACAACCCTTTGGAAAATTCTTTGGTGAATAACTACTATATTGGAATATACAGCTACACAATGATACAGTGATTTTACTTCTAGGTAGATGCTCAGCAGAAATGCGTGCATATGCATGAAAAACATAACAGAAGAATATTCCCAGAGCATTATTCCTAACAGCAAAAAATCTGGAAACAACTCAGATGCCACCAACAGTAGGAGAGAAAATTAAATTGTTTTACAACAGAATACTGTACATAGAAATATAAATAAGTGGGCTATAGCTACATGCAACAACACAGATGAATTTTACAAACATTGTGTTGAGGGAAAGACATAAAAGATGTACCATATAATATTATTTATATAAAGTTCAAAACTAAGCAGAATTAATTTGTGATATTAAAAGTCAGGATAGTAGTTACTTTTAGGTAGAGACAGGAGATAGATAGTGTGAGGAGACACAAGGATACATAGGGTGACAATATTCTATTTCTTAACCTTGGTAATGTTCACTTTGTGACACTTCACAGATACTTCATAGAACTGCACAATTATGATTTTTACACTTTTAGGTATATATTATACTTCAATAAAAAATTTTAAGCTTATCAGACTAGAGAAAACTAAGTATTAAAAATATTACAGAAATTAATAACATAATTACTATTTCTTGATCATCTACTCTATGTCAAATGCTATACATTCATGTTTTATCATCTTATCTCCAAAATAACCTTTCAAAGTAGGAATTAGTCTCCCCATTTCACAGATTAAAAAAACTCGTAAAGTTGAAGTAGCTTTACTCAAGGTCATAAAACTAGTAAATGGTGGGAGTAAAAACTGGAATCCAAGTCTGATTTTGGAATCAAGGACAAGTTCAGAATTAATACCCAACTCTTCTATAATGTATGTAAGTTAAAAGTCTGCAGCCTCCTTTGTGATCTCCACCCTCCTTTGTCACCCTCAGCCTTCTTTGTCACAAAGAGTCTTTTCTATATCCCAACCCACTCTTTGACTTCTTCAATTTTAAAGCCACTATCCTCACCCCCATCACTTACTGACTCCAGGCTCTGGTAATTATAAACTACTTGCAGTTTCCTCTACAATCCATGCTCTCTCTTAGCATATGCTGCCCTCCCATCTTACAATGCACTCCTCACGCTTCTCCCCTCCCCCAACACACTCTGGCTTTACTAGTTTTTAAATATGTAAGATAAGACAGGTTACTGCATTCTTCAAAAATTGATCTGCCCCATCCTTGCTATCTACTTCTATAGCACATTGCACATTCCTCTATCATACCATTTATCATGCCACGGTTTAACATTTATGTAAGTCTCTCTACCTGAGATTGTAATAAACTCTTTGAAAGAAAGCTATTTAGCACTTATACTCCATTTTGTATCCTTTGTATCTAGCACAGCACCTGGCAGGTGCAGGTAGGTTCTCTAGATTAGCTAAACAAATAAACTTTAATGTCAGAACTAAAACCAAACAAAATGCTGAAAGTACTACTAAATTGTTAACAGAATTTCTACTGCAATGTAATTACAGCCTACATTTGTATGTTTTGTTGGCACAGGCTTTGCAAAGAATATTTAAACAAATACTCACGATTTCGTAAAATACACAAGGCAGAGTAGTTTTCCCGTCTCTCATAAGGAAAGTCTTTGAATAATACGGACCAGGTGTAACAGCTGAATCAAGAACAGCTAAGCAACATTAAAATGGGGGAGGGGGGAGAAACAGTTGGTAAATGTAAATAAAACTTAACAGTGAGAAGTGACATTTAAATACTATTCCTACACCAAGCTCTCCTACTTTTATTTATACAATAATAAAGACAACACTTTAAGAGGGAATGACATTTCTGAAACTGCTTTATACCAAGGAAAGCAAAATTTTTGGCCTTGTCTAATTCAGGAACAGGTTATGTGCAAAAGTTCATACCATTGATAATATTTGGCCATTTGATTCTTTTTTCTTATGGTGTGTTCTATAGAGTGGTTAAATCCTCAGACCACTCTATATTATAATAATAAAATACAAAAATATAATGAATAAGCATCATGGTTTAATGAAGGAAAAAACACTGAATTAGAATCAGAAATCATTTATTTGCATTCCAGTTCAACTTAACTAAATTGAGCACATTGTTTAACCTCTTTCAAATCTGTTTCATATATAAAATGCAAATAATATTTCATGTTTATTTCAATAAATTATCAAATGAGAGCATTATTCATTCTTTAATAACCACCTGTTGAGTACTGACAGTGAACATTTGTTATTTTGAGGTCAGTCTCCATTCCCCCTAATAATACCCAGATTTTCCTTTAGGAAACCTCTGCTATGTCATTCTTAGCCATATGATTTGGATAGGATCTGACCGACCCACAGATCCAGGAGACTAATTTATTTTTTTTTTTAATTTTTTTTTTTATTGCTTTTATTTATTTTTTAGACAGAGAGAGACAGAGTATGAGCAGGGGAGGGGCAGAGAGAGAGGGAGACACAGAATCTGAAGCAGTCTCCAGGCTCTGAGCTGTCAGCACAGAGCCCGATGCGGGGCTTGAACTCACAGACTGTGAGATCATGACCTGAGCTGAAGTCAGACGCTTAACTGACTGAGCCACCGAGGCGCCCCTCCAGGAGACTAATTTAACCCATCAGCATATCCCATTCCCAGCTACAGAGTTCAAGATTGGCTAGTCATTTGCTAGTTTCTGGAAAACACAAGGAGAAGGAACTATCAACAAATGTGACAGTGTGGTATAAGCATGTGTGGTACAGAAAATTTTGATAGTCATCTTAATACCAAAAGGAAAGAGTCAGAAGTGCTGGAGAGACCACATTTGGAGCTTCAGGATGAAGCCAACACTGTGATAGGACAGAAAGATGGCTAAAATCAAAAACATAATTCTAGATGAATATTAATACATGTATTTTAAAACACATAGAGCAAAAAATATAAATTGTGAAATCAGATGTGCATAGTAAAATTATAAAAGCATGGACAGGAAAGATACCACAGGGATTATCTCTAGAGAAGAAGAAACAAGGATGGGAGCTTCAAATAGATCTATAACATAGGTATGTGGATATTTATATTCTCTATTTTTCTATATATTTAGAATATTAAATAATTTAAACAGTACTAAATATTTATTTTATTTGAATTAAAAGAAATATGTTTTGAGTCTCTATTTCTTGTTTATCTCTTCATTCTAGGTAAAATCAAATTCTGGAAACATTCTAAAAACTTTTAAGTAATAATTTAAGAAACAGATTAATCATAGGGTGTTTTCTCCTATCACTAAAGGATTCTTCATAGATGTTCTTTTAGAGTATTTAAAATATGATTTAACGGGGCGCCTGGGTGGCGCAGTCGGTTAAGCGTCCGACTTCAGCCAGGTCACGATCTCGCGGTCCGTGAGTTCGAGCCCCGCGTCGGGCTCTGGGCTGATGGCTCAGAGCCTGGAGCCTGTTTCCGATTCTGTGTCTCCCTCTCTCTCTGCCCCTCCCCCGTTCATGCTCTGTCTCTTTCTGTCCCAAAAATAAATAAACGTTGAAAAAAAAAAAAAAAATTTAAAAAAAAAAAAAAAAATAAAATATGATTTAACTATATACGAAATTACTACTGGATTTAGTATAATATAGTACAAAGAACACCAGATTGAGAATAAAGGAGATTTGGTTTTTAGATCCATTTCTGCAGCTAACTTGCTTTGTTATAGTCAAATGTACTCTAATGAATTGCCCCATTTCTTCACCTACCTCAAGGATTAACTTAGAGCCCTTGTAACAATCTTTCCAGTTTTAACATTATAAATCAGAAGAATATTACCATAAATAACCAAATACATCTTAAGTCACCCAAATCAATGACAAATTCAGGAATTGAAGAAAATCCTAATAAAACATAATCTCCTTTTGCAAATTTTATTTTTCTTTAAGGTTCCCTAGGTATTCCTATTGACATTCAAAATTATCGTCCAAATAGTATTACTGAGGTTTTTTGAAGTACCATACCTACCCAATATTTCAAAAAGAAGTACAGTTTTCTGTGCATGTTCACACCAGTACTTCATGCTTTCAATCACTGCAGATATAATTCTTAAAGAATTATCTTTTTCCTTAAGCTTTAACTGATACAATGAGCCTTCCTTTTGAAAAAATAAAAACACAGCATTAGAAAATCCTTTCATTTTTTTTTCATCATACTCTTTCACTTTCCATGTTAAAGATTCTAGGTCCCCAGGCATAAAATGTGTAATATATGCAACAAAACCCACTACTGATAATTTTAGTACAGTTATTCCCCTAAATTAAAGACATCATTAGCACTTTATAGCAGGAGAAACTAGGATTACTTAGAGACCATTAATCAAGAAGAGAATTATTTATATGAACATTCATCACTCATTTATTCACTGAGTATTTTTAAAGCAAAGAATTATTCATGTGGACATTCATTCATTTACTTGTTTTTAAAGAATCGTGTGCCAATCCTGTGATAAACACAGGTGAGTAAAACACAATTCCTTTCCCTAACGTGTTAATACTCTAAGAGGGGAGCCAGACACATTCACTCATTCATTACAAAAGTACTCATTGGCAGTTACTATGCACCAAATATTGTTAATGAGGAAACAACACTGAACAAAACAGACAAGATATCTACCCTCACAGATTCTGCCATCTAATGGACGATCCAGAAAATAAACAAATAAATACATAATTGAATGTCAGGAATTGATATATCCTATGCATTTTTTAAAAACAGGGTAAAAGGATAAAGACAGATAGGAATTATTAAATACGTTGATGAAATGAGGACTGAGAAACACTAAAGTATAAAGTCCCTGAGATGGGAATTGTGTTTGGCCTTTTAAAAAATCAACTAAGAATACAGTGTGTTAAGTTATTAATTTGGGGGGGAGGGTACTTTCCTTTGTGAGGGTGGGGACACATCAAAGAACAACTGATGGGACTTTTTTTCCAACTACAATTACTTTCTTTCTCCTCCTCTTCGTAACCAAAATACCAATGCCTCCCATTGAGAGCTACTGCCATAATGAACAACTGTTACTAAGGTAAACTATGTCATATCATTCTTGTATACAAGGAAACATAAGGTTGAAAGCCACTGTGATATATGCTATATTAGTCAGATTTCTAGCAAAAAAAAAACAAACTTTCTGTTGAAAAGACTTCTTACGAGTGTATGTACAGAACAAGCACAGGGTACTTAAGCCCTCAAAGACTAACAACAATAAGAAACTACTGTCACTCCTAGGCTGAAAGGACAAAGGGATGAAATAAAATTACCACACCTGTGAAAGGTGGACTCATGGAGGGGCTGTATCATTTAGGATCAGCTACTGACTATGACACAACATTTAAACAGGGAGAAAATGGGAAACCCCAAACTTTCTCCCCACCCTCTAATTTCCTGCCAGTGACCCCAACTGGCTGATCCCTAACAGGAGCTAGCCTAGGGACCTCAGGATGCTGTACTGTGTAGGACAATTCAGCCTTCCAAAACACAGACAAGAGTAGAGTGTAAAGAATCTACTGAGCCAGGGCACAAGGGAAGGAAGGTAGTGAACAACCAGCACATAGAATATACTAAAGATATTTACAAAGAACAATTAGAGCAAAGAGTGGTGATAGGAGGAAATAAGGCTGAGGTACAGATATAGAGAAAAATATACAGAGTGCATATCATGGTCAGAGAATTGTGAAGGGTCTGAAATGGCTAGTGTATTGGAGAATTAGTAGATTATGGAATACGAAACTGGAAAGGTACAATAAATTCTGACTTGCAGTCCAAATCTATCCTGCTATTTTTGTAAATTTTCATTGGAACACAGCCAAGCCTATTCATTTATGTATTGTCTATGGCTGCTTGCAAGCTACAAAGGCAGAGTTGAGTGGTATAGCTAAGAGACTATATGACCCATAAAGTAAAAAATATTTACTATCTGGCCCTTTAAGGAAGAACTTTGAGAATTTCTATAAGTAACGGATAAACTCATCATCCCAACAATCAATAAACAGTGAAATTCAGAACCCGGTAAGATACTCTAAAGCAACCATGAACAGGAGCGGCCATTCACAACCTCTAAGAAAATATTTTGGAAATGAACATTCATCCACTCCAATGGAACTAGATATTTGTGTTAACCAAGAAATGCATGCCATGGGATTGATTTTAAATGCTCTTATCGCTGTAAACTTCTAAATATTTATCTCATTTTTTAAATGTAAATACAAAAATGTAAATAATTCATATTTAAAAGTTTACCTTGAGAGTGCTTTCTTCTGGAATATAATCCAACATTTTCTTCTTAAATTGGTTTTGTTGAAAATTAGACTTAAATGCCTGTAATGCACTGTTTTTGTCTAGACCTCTCATTGTGGAGCCAGGTATTTTTGATGAATGTGTTTCTCTGAGTACTTCAGTTTCTCTTTGATGAGATGAGTTAGGAGGTTCGGATATTTTCAACTGTTTCTGTTGTTGAGCTCCCCAACTCCTTGGACAAGAATTTATTCTGTCATTTGCCACTAAGTTTGTCCTTTCACATTGAGGCCTAAAATCATTTCTATCCCAAGTTTTCCAGCTAGTATTTTTGTTGTCATCTCTGCAGCTGTAATAGTTTAAAATTAATATTAGTTTTTATTTCTATATACTTTTCCTTTTAAAAAATTAATAGTGAAAAATTGTGGTTTATAAAGTACCTTGTAACTACTGACTAGTTGGAAATTCCAAATACATTATCATAACAACTCTACAATATATTATACCTCTCTTTTTAGGTGAGGAAACTGAGGGACAAAACAACTTGCATGAAGTTATATAGCAAGTTACTATCAATCTGGAACCCAGAGAATCCTACTCTCCCCACGCAGATTCCAGTGCTACAAAGTATATTTTTAAACCATATAAGCCTTCATATGACAGTGGTTGTCTCTGAGTGTAAGATTTTAAGGACATTTTCTTGCTTCTTTATATATTTATTTTTAAATTTTCTACAAAGTAAAATTTTTACAAGTTAAACTATGGCTTATAGATGATTCTAAATAACGAGAATAAATATAGGCAGTATAGGTAACTATTTAATTAGAAATTTTGTACTTTTACTACATAGCTTAAAAGCCCAACTTATGATTCTGTTGCAGGATTTTATTATATTAATCTAAGGGAGTTGGATCAATTTAATCTATGAGGAGATCAGAACTGATAAGAACATAATGTTAATGAGGCCAAAATCAAAAGTATAATTTCTTTTGATAACTAGTATAATTCATACTAGTTAAGAGTTCCACAAGGAGAAACTAGTCCAGGTCACAAATTCTCATTTCTGAATAATTTTTCTGAAAATATCACCAGGATCACAAGGGGGCAAATAACACAACTCATCCCTCGTTAGAGAAAATAATCCAAGAAAAGGTCCTGGTTTCCTAGAGACCAGGCACAAGTCCAGACTGTATGGGGCCTGAAGCTTGTATGATGTGAAGAGGTTTCTCAAGTAAATTAGGTGCAAAAGTAGGTATGAAAATAATGAGAAAAGAAATCACAAATAATTACAAAATTTTAAAAGGTGATAAATATCGCAAACATCACAATATCCAGGAAAAAATGTTACTGGCATTTTTATTAGTTAATTGTCTGATATACCTCTATAAAACTTTTCCTACATCGATCACCTCCTCATATGACAGCAATTTTATTTCCAATAGTGAGAACAGAAACATAATTTTGTCTTTCCATGACTATGGGATAACTTGTATTACTCAGTTTAGAAAAGTTTCTTTCAGCTTCCCAACTCCTTACTGGTAAACAACACATCTGCAACCTGCTCCAATGCTTTTGTCTAGGAGGTGCTCCTGGCCTGGGGACAAGCCCTGGAAAAACTTACAGTCCTAGGTGAGCCCACACAGTTGGTTATTATTAAGTATAAAAATTTTCTAAATGTAATTTTGTCTAGGCAAGGACAAAGAGATGAAGGAGGAGGGAAAGAAGGGGAGGAGGAGAAAGGAAGGAGAAAAAGAAAGAGAAATCTTAAGTAAACTCACCTCCAACCACTCTTGCTTCTTTCAGTATTTGATTGAATAGATTGAATAGACTTAGACATAGAATCTTGACTTCTCAGGGGAGGAGAAACTGAATGTGGCATTTGCCTTTAAAGGAAACATGTCTTATAAATATTAGTAGTTTGTTTCCAAATTGAGAAATGTAAAATGTACACGAAAAATGACATCAGTCAATAATAGACACACACAGTCACTAGTGTCCATTTTTCCACATACCCTGTGTTCAGTGTTTTCACTAAAGGAGGCAACTCTGGATTCACAGCTTCCCAGGCCCAATCTCAAAAGATATAAATAACATAGATAAAAGTAAGATAGGTAACATTTTTAAAAAATAATTATTTCATACTTATTTAATTCGTGGGAAACTAAAAGCCTGAATAAGCAGTGGACTTGAAGATATGTATGTGTTCTTTAATAGCATTGTTGTGGAATTTGTCACAGCCTGCCTTATTAATTTTTATAGATGTCTTTCTTCTCCACTGTATTTTAAACAAGGATAATAGTTTAATCTGTATCTTTTCCACAATCAATCCTAGTATATATAGTACCTTGTATTTTGTAACATGAATTCAGCGTAATCAATGTTTCTTAAACTTTTTTGACCCCAACCCACAGCAAAAAATGCATTATAGCCCAGGGGCACCTGGGTGGCTCAGTAGGTTAACCGCCAAACTCTTGATTTCAGCTCAGGTCATGATCTCATGGTTCGTTAGTTTGAGCCCCGCATCAGGCTCTGGGCTGACAGCGTGGAGCCTGCTTGGGGTTCTCTCTCCTGCTCTGCCCCTCCCCTGCTTGTGCGTGCTCTCTCTCTCTCTCTCTCTCAAAATAAATAAATAACTTGAAATAAAACTACATCATAGCCCAGAACATATATATATATATATACACACACACACACAAACATACACACACACACACACATATATACACATACACATGGTATGCATGTGTGTGCATGAGAGAAAGGAGAGAGAACATAAAACTGCACCATCAACTTGTATCCTTACTATCTGTGATGCACTCTCATATTTTCTATTCTACTTTATTCTCTTCTATTTCCTTCTTTAAAGATTAACTTTTTCCCAATCGGACTAATGGATCAAGACACAAATTTGAAAATCACTGATCTAGTCCTATCTTTTACCCAGTATAAGAATCTTATAGATCTCTGACAGATTGTAATCCTGGTCAGAGTTTGGCCAGTTCAGTACTTCAGGAGGATGAACATTTCCCTATGGAGTAGCTCCAAATGCTGTTATTTTTCAAGGCCAACATTCATGCTATTTATAAAAATATTTTAAACGTCAGAGAAATTTTTTAGATGGCAGAGGATGACCAGATAAATGCCCATTTATGTATATCCATATGAATTTTTATCTTTTATCCATAAAAATGAGAGTAATATAAAATTCCTATTTTAAATTCCTCAAACATGAAAGAAAATAATTACAGCTTAGAAGCAGACTAAGTAAGGTCTATGGTAGCACATTGGATGAAATCAACAAATATATATATTTTATATTTATATGTGGCTATATATATAAAGAGATTTTAAAAATCCAGTTGCAAAAGAGCCTATTAAAGATTTTTAAAGTATCCTCAAAATTATATAAATGTATATAACCAGCATATACCAAGTATATTTCAGAATACCTGCCTATCCATGCCCTTCTTCTTAAGAGAAATAAAAAGTCAGCAAACATTAAGACCTCTCTGCACCCACCACCACAGCTAATTGTTACAGAGATGAGAGGCCTAATCATAAAGCTAAACCAGAATTTTAATGACCTCACTGAAAAAGATGTGCTGAACCAAAGGCTCTCTGTCTCTAGAATTTAATCAAAAGATACAGAAGGCAGTCAACAGTAGACTCTGAAAACTAGAACTAAAAAGGCTATGTTAACTCCCAGCAAGGGCAATTCAGTTCATGGGCTAGTTGAAGCTATAAGGAAGCCAACTGGATGAGAGAAATGAAGCATCAAATGAAGAAAGGCAAAAATGCTAAGAGAAGAGAAAAAAGCCAAGCAGCAGAAATGTTAGGCTTCTACCCTGCTACCTCCATTTTTCCTGTGTTCACATGCATACTTATCCCTATTCCTGATGCAACTTGAGTTTCTCCATTCTTTATCACCACATGCCTAAGTCACAATATCCATGTATCTTGAAAAAGAAAAACACAAATCTTTACAATGTGGGTTACAACTTCATTAGAACAAAGGCTCCAGATCTAAGATACTCCATTTAAATGCTAAGCCATCCTTGTAGACAAGGAAACTCAAACTACTGTACTGGAATGTTCAGAAAGAGCCAAGTAATCCCTGTATTTGGATGGTGGAAAGAAGAAAAAGTAAACTTTCTATTTCCATTATAATAAAATAAAAATGGTAATTTTCTATAATCTTCATTCTTATTTTCACCTTATTTTCTTACCTGTTGGTAAAGGAGGGAAGTCATAACTGTCAGAAGCAGTACTGATACTTGGATCATTTGTAAGTGGATTAGAGGTTAATGGCTGTCTATTCCTCTTTTTCTGATTGAACAATGGTACAGGCAAACAGCCTAAATTATATATATCAATAAATTAGTACATAATAGGCAAATAGTCGATCTAGTTATAGAGTAACTGTATAATATACAACTTGAATTTGTCTACTTCTGTATGTTAATTTTATATTTATTATAGATATATTTCTACATCTTTGGATTGATTTTTACATTCTTTTTAAGATCCCAAATAGCCTCATTTGTCTCTACAAAAACTCCTTTCTTGTTCTACATTAACACTGACTTAATTCCTCTTGTTTGAAAGTAATTCCCATCTCCTTCCTTACCCCCTGACCCTTTCTAAATCCACTTTTTGTTTTCCTTATTTCCCTCCTGTGCTTGCTTATTACCATGTCAACTGGAGGGGATCCTTTAAATACAACAGAGGTGAGGGAGAACCAAACTTTGATCCCTGCTTTCCAAAACCCTAACCACTCTTTATACTATGATAGCACACTCTTTAGGGCCACAGTTCTCATTTGACCAAGATTTACACAGACTTGTGCTTAACATGCCAGCTCCTAGACCCCACTGTCATAGATTTTACTTCAGCAGATTTAGTTTGGAATCCAAAACTCTACAATTTTAACAAGCACTCCAGTTGTCTCTAATGCATATTGTCTGTGGGTCACTTTTAGAACGCCTTAAAGTGATAATATCCAGTCCACATGAGAATAAATAAATATTACCTCCAAGCTATCCAGATGGGAGGCCCGGGATCTCAAGTCAAGCCAAGAGTTAGAATTTATAAACACTAAAACTAGAAGGGATCTCAGAGCAAAAAAGGGATCCAAAAAGCTTGCACAGTGCCACAACAGAAACTAAGGTTCCCAAATCTCAATTCAGGTATCTTGCCACTAGACCATACTCTAGTTGGTCCATCAACATGTACTATGGGAGAATATAGTCTCTGTGATAACTATCTGATGAAAAGCTGGGAAAATTATGTGAGCTCTGAAATCAGACTGCGTGGGTTTGAATCACAACTTCAAAATATAAACTTGGGCAATTTCCTTAAACTCATTGTGCTAATATGACATACATAGAGAGGCAGGATAATATAGTGATTAAGAGCATGGATGCTAGAGCCTAGCATCTAGAGCTAGATTCAAATGCTGGTTCTGCCACTTCATAAGTTACTGATTTAACCCTTCTGTGCCTTAGTTTCTCATCTGGAAAACAGGGATGTTAATAATAATGCCTATCCCAGAGGGCCAGTGTAAAAATTAAATAAAATAATACATATAATGGCCAGAACACAGTACATCCGACAGTTATTACTATCTTCACGATGCATTATCACCATTTCCCTGGTTCTCTTCATTTTTACCATCTGTCCTTTTACTAACTAATAAATTGGGAAAGAAGAAATGGTAAGGGAAGTTGTTACGGAGACAGAAGTGCTTCTGGAAATATTTTAAATAAGTAGGTCACAAATACAAATAGAAATAAGCCTATTTTTTTGTTTTCAGTTTAAAAGTGCAGAACTCGGGGCGCCTGGGTGGCGCAGTCGGTTAAGCGTCCGACTTCAGCCAGGTCACGATCTCGCGGTCCGTGAGTTCGAGCCCCGCGTCGGGCTCTGGGCTGATGGCTCAGAGCCTGGAGCCTGTTTCCGATTCTGTGTCTCCCTCTCTCTCTGCCCCTCCCCCGTTCATGCTCTGTCTCTCTCTGTCCCAAAAATAAATAAAAAACGTTTAAAAAAAAAAAAAAGTGCAGAACTCAAACACATAAGGTTTGTAGAAAGAACACTAGAGTAAATCCAGGAAAGTTTCATTTTACTCCCACTTCTGTCACTATTTTGCCTTGAGTAAGTTATCTTACTTCTTTGCACCTAAAAGAGGTTAGACTATATGTTCAGTCTTCCTTAAAGTTCCTTCCAAGATGTTCCCTCTATAAACTACACAAGATTTACATGGAATATAAAAATATAGAAAATTTAAAAATAAAAGTTGCTCAATACCTGCTGTACTTCGAGTTGAATTTTCATTTAGGTTTCTCTTCATTTCCTTCAATATTAAAATCTGTAACTTTGTCTTTAGCACTCCAAATTTACAAATGAAGTTGACTAAACCTTCCAAGAAATATGCAATTCACATTATATCAACAAAAAAATCAAATTCTCAGCCTACTAATTACTGAAATTTTGATTTAACACTATGGCTTCAAAATAAGGTAAACACTTTACAGAACCCTGCTTCCCGAATAAGAATTTACAACATGATCCATTTTTCCAACTCTGTTCAAAATTGGTTATGACTGAGGTGGCTATAACCTTGCTGCCTAAACATACATTTTTTTTTTCCACACAGTCCACATAACATGTTTCACAACCAAAAACCCACAATGAAGATTCTGAACCAGATTTATAAAAGAGGGAAATGGCTACAACACTGGCAAACTGATATGCTCGCAAGGCCAGGGAGGAAACCTACACAAGTGAACTAACCACGTGAGAACACGCTCCAACTCACTTTAAAACACTGTGCAGATCACTTGGCTTTGGCCATTAACTGGAGATCCCTGTATTACAGAATACCAAAGACTAAGGCCTCAATATCCAGATTAATTGCAATAATAAATTTCTACTCAATCTATATAATTTCAACAAGTGAAACAAGGTTTTTCTTTGTTTTTTCTTCTACAACAAAATTTGTTGCAATTTTTTTCCATGTTTAGTCTCCTCCTAATATATTTCAATCCCAATTTAATGCAACAAACACCTATTACATGAAAAGGCAAAATACAAACCTAAATAAGGTAATCTCTGCTCCTAAATTCATTATCCAGTGAGGAAACAACTAAGTAACACCGCAAATCATACTGAGGTAAACAAATTTCCAAATATCACTTAAAGAAATAAAAATGGGGAAACATAAGGGCAGGGACTGCCTCTGCTTTGTTTCCAAATCTTGGGCTTGAAGCCGGATATCGCGGGCCCTTTAGAAAATATTCTTGATGTCATTCTAGGAAGCAAAACTGAGGTTACACGACGTTTTCTCCGCACAGAAATACCAACGCAACTCACACCATGAACCTAGAGTGGGGCTTACAAGGGTCATTACGTTTCTGAGTGCCATGCAAACAAAATCAACAAAAATGAGACATCCTCCCCCAGACCGGAGGGCCGGGGACGCTGAGGTGCCCCCACCCCAGCTTCTAACTGGACTCTAACGGCAGTTAGGTGGTTGGCAGCGTCGACATGCAAAAAGTTTGTTCAGTCAACACACACACACACACACAGCCCCCAAAGGCCACTAGCTCAAATGGAGGCAAGGAGGGCCTATTTTGGCCACTCCTGAGTGGTCCAGTCAGGCCTACATTCTCTTTCCAACCACCTCTCCTGACCCAGGGACTGGGGCAGTTTGGTAACTAGAGACAATACACTCTTTCCCTTCTTGGCCCTCGGGCCAACACGACACGCAACTTTAACCCTCAGGCTCCCAACCCCCAACAACTGTCACCCGTTCGCTTCGCTCCGTCGTCGTCGACGTCGCCAACACAGCCCAGTCAGCTACCGCCGACTTCCCGGCCTCTGAAGAAGCGCGAGAAGTCGAGCTTTGCGCAAGCGCACCTGCACCCGCGCCGCCCACTGCGCAGGCGCAGGAGCCACCCGCCTCTGGGGCTCGGGTGCTGTGGCATAATCCTTTCAGTGGACGGTGAGAAAAAGATGTTCACGCGCCTGTCCTTCCTGCTCGCAGCTGTGAGGTACGAGGCGCCGGATGGCTCTAGGGACGAGCCGTTCTATTCACCGCTGAGACGTACCCACGACTGGTGGCCCAACACTCCTCTTTACCCTTTCCCCAGCGCACACATTTTTTTAGGTTCCAAAACCTAAAACGTTTGTAAGACATTGGAGGTTCGCCTAGAAGAGAATAACAAGGCCTCGGGCCTGAAAAGCAGGTCATAAGGTTTGTTTGACTTTGCTTCGTGTGGGCTGAGAATTAGTCATCTGGCGGCTGGCTGGCTGCAGCGCTGAGGCCCCTGGAGAGCTGAGGCCCCGGTTAAGAGGGCCCTGCAACTCTAAGAGCAGGGACTGCACTGTGCGAGAGCTCAGTGGAGGGAAAGGGTGTTCAAGGCCCGGGAGAGGAAATGGAATGCCGCAATGACCCGGAACTCTGGCGCTGGCCAGACGCCTCTGATCTTGGCCCTATGATCTTGGGCAAGTTATTTACCCCCTCTACACCTACACTTCTCTTCTCAGTAAAGCAGGTATAACTATTTACTCAGTTCCCCTAAAACTATTAAAAGAGAAAAATGAACAGCCCTGGGGCACAGTAAATGCTCGGTAAATGTTAGCCCGTAATCAATAACAGTAGCTACCATTCACTGAGTCCTTACTATAGGCCAGGAATAGTAATTCTAGCTCTGTCTGAAGTCAAAGGCCATGTTATGTTGTTACTATATCTTCTCGCCATTTGAAGCCTGGGAGAGGTGAACAGAAATGTGAGGAGGGTCTACAGATGGAGGGAAGGTTGTTAGTACAGGCCTAGGACTTTGAGACCATGAAACATATTAGTACGGTTGACCCTTGAACGGCACAGTTTTCAACTGTACAGGTCCACTTATAGCTGGATTTTTTAGAGTGCTGTACTGTACATGTATTTTCTCTATGATTTTCTTAGTAACATTTTCTTTTCTGGAGGTTACTTTATTGTAAGGATACGATATTTAATACATATGTAAAATATGTGTTAATTGACTAGCAGTAAGGCTTCTAGTTAATAGCAGTCTATTAGTAATTTAAGTTTTAGGGAGTAAAAAGTTATAAGGGATTTTCAGCTGCTTGGGGGTCAGCGCTCCTAACCCCTGCATTGTTCCAGGGTAATCTCTAGTTTCTTATAAGGTTAGGTCAAAAGAAGGAGAATGAGTATGAATGCCAAACTCAGGAATAAGTTTGAAGTAATTGTGTCTTCATTTCATTTGGAAAAGAGAAGACTTCACAGCATAAGATGTCTGAAAAGACTTGTTAGTTGTCATGGTTCCAAAGAGAAGACTTTTATTTTTTATTTTATTATTATTATTATTACTATTACTATTAGAGTAAGAGAGAGAGTGCCAAAAAGTGGAGAGGGGCAGAGGGAGAGAGAATCCTAAGCAGGCTCCGGCTCAGTGTGGAGCCGGATGTGGGGCTCCATCCCACTACCCTGGAATCATGACCTAGCTGAAATCAAGAATCAGATGCTCAATCAACTGAGCCACCCAGGTGCCCCCCCTCAAAGAGGAGACTATTAGAAAATGAATAAAAGCTTTAGGGAAGCAGATTTTGACCTAACATATACATGTGTGCATGCATACATACACACACACACACACACACATACACACATATATAACACCCACCCATGTGCCCCCCAAATGGATTTCTCATTTAAAGAAAATATTTTAAGCCCACTATGGACAACACGCTGTGCTAAATCTGCCAGAACTGCAGAATGAGCAATGTGGAATCTTTACTAGTTGTGTATAAACTTATCTATTTTATCCCTATCTTGTTTTGGTTACATTTATTTATTTCCATCTGCAAAGTTGGTCCAGATGGGTGACAGCAAGAGGTCCATGGGGGAAGGAAAAAATAGAGTAGTTTGATTACATGACTGCTGGACAACCACATTATGTATGAGATACCTTATATGTAATATTGAGAGAAGATCTTCCTTATCCCTCAGCCATACTATTTTGGAAACAACATCTTAAATGCATCTGCCACAAAATTTCTTGCGTGGATTTATTGGACATCCAAGACTATGAAAAATTTATTCTCCCTTTGTTTCATACTACATTATTTTACTAATAATCAGGCACCGCTATCCCTACAAAACATTTATAGTGCTGGAAATTATTAGGTTTATTCTTTTAAATACTTCAAAACATTAAATATTCAACATAATAATGAGACAGTGTTGAGGGAGCATGGGACAAGCTGACAGCAATCCCCACCGCTGGCCCCTCCACCCCCCAAGTAGAATATGTGTGATATTCCTTGTTCACTTCTGGCTACCCAAGAACAAAGGAAAGGGGTTTAAGTGCTTGCCATGGTGATGTGGGAAACTAAGACAAATGAAAAATTAAATTCCCTTACTGCCTACAGTCCATTGGCAAGTCCTTGAAACCGGCAGAGTAACCTCCCTCTAGGATCTCAGCTGCCTGAATGATGACACTTTGCTGGGGGCAAAAGGGAATCTTGGCTTAACATTATCCTAACCTTGAGGATCCTGTAAGTCTACTTTCACATATAAAAATCCCTTTGGAAACTTCTTTCTCTCAACTCCCCCAAGATATGCTGGCAATCATACTCCAAGCTTATGGCCCCCTGATAGAATCTGAAGGGTCTCATGACTGAGGTTTTACTAAATGGTAATAAATGGCATTTCCCTAGCAACAGCTAGCCCCTCAAGGTCCTGGAAACTTTGCTTCCAAAATTCCTTAGAGACTTACTCTAACCCTGACCCCCTCCCAACCTGAAGGTATATAATGAGTTACCTGTCACTACCCCAAGTGCAGCGAACTCTTTCCCCCCATAGGTCCTGTCCCTGTGCTTTAATAAAATCACGTTTTTGCACCAAAGGCGTCTTCAAGAATTCTTTCTTGGCCGTCAGCTCTGCCCCCCCCCCACCCTGTCACCCCCAAAACTTCATCAATAGTGATAACTAGAAACGGTTCTACTTTATACACCATCAGTTCTCTGAACTCTCAAAAAAGAATTAGACTAGTGAAAATTTGTAGTTTTTGTAGGGCTCAAAAATTTAGTGTGCTTTGGGAAACAGGGAGTTAAAAATCTTTCGGAAGTTAACTTGGTATAAGAGTATGAAAAGCCTCTGTTGCTCTAGTTCTAAGGAAATGCTCTCTTTTTTTTCTAATAAAGCTTTCCGCAGAAGACAAACTCTGTACACAATAAACAAGGTAAGTATAGGACAGAATTACTGCAATTCACTAGCTCGCAAAAAAAGTTATTCATTTTGACATGTAAGGGAAACTTTATTTCTGAATGTTAAATGTGCTTCAAAGTGCTGATCTGTTAAAATTCCATAAAACAAGTCTCGAAATGCAAGTCATTTGTGCCAGCGACGAGTAAATAACCAAAGCAGCATTTCCAGAGAGACTAGGGCAAAGGACAGAACTAACCACAAATCAGAAAAGAAATAAAACCTAATCAAGTGTTAATAATTCACCATAGTTAGAGTTTTTAAGACCAAAGTAAATAATACAACCATAATTTGTTTACATTTGCTTTTGTTTTGAGCATCTCTACATTAGTGTTCAGTGTACATTGATGTGGATAGAAAAATCAAATGCTACATGGGCTTTTTCTTAGGTTAGAACAGTAATTTTAATGTGTAAATTTGGATTTTATTATTTTGCTTTCTCTATCTCTGCATTATAATCTCCTAAGGAAGAACATAGGGATTGGTTTATTAAACATTATGAAACATTCACATCTTACATTCTAGCATCTGTTTTGTTTGTATGCTTTTTGTTTCCTGAGCACGCTGTAGTAACTGTTTATGCGAATTCCAAAAGAGCAAAATTAGAACTTTGGGGAAGTCCAAAAATAACAGGAAGCACCCTGTTCTGTTAAAAACACTGGGCTTAGAATCAGAAAACCTGGGTCCCCGGCCCAGTTTTCTCCTGGTAGCTGAGGGACTTTTCCTTTAGCACTACAATGGCCATGTCAATGCCTAACCCACCCTGTCTTATAATGTAAATATATGAATAAACTGAGGTAATGTGGGAAATTTAATTACAAATTAAACTTCTCTGAGGTTGTGAGGAATTACTCTTGTATCCCTATCAAACAATCTGGCACTACTAGTACATAGTATTTCCAGAACTTGAAGATATTTGTCTTTCTGGATGATCAAGCATGAAATCAAATCTGATTTGGTTCAGAGTCATTTCTCCAAGGGGATGTAATCATCTTAGTATTCTGAATAGTTTCCCCTAATAAGACCCCCCGCTTGAGTAACACATTCCAGTGAAGAGTCTGGGCTTCTAGTAAATTAGACTGTGTATTATAATAAACTCATAATTCGGTTAATATATATAGCATGCCCCAAGACATTTTCAGGCATTATGAAGACTTGAAAATTATTCACAGTTGCTTTTCCTTTAATAGTAAGGCAAAACGTGGGAAAGATTCCTAAAGAAATTGACAGAGAATTACCGAAAACTTCATGAGAAGGAAATTAGGACATATTTCAAAGTAGCTTTTTACGTCCTAGTGATCATTTATTTGGTTGTTGTGTCTCTGACTATATATAAGCATACTAAACGAAATGGTGCTGGCTCCACAGGAGGTCTCTCAGGATCTCTCCGCCTTTGGCTGTTTATGGAGGTGAGATTCAAATGTGCTCAGATAATGAAAAGGCTCTGAACTCATTTCAGAGAAGAAATGTTTTGAAATGTGAGTGGAAACATAAATAGCAAATCATAGCATGCATATTATGAGCCCCTTCTTTATTTTTTATAGATTTTTAATTTTTTTCATATTTTTGAGGATTAGAAAAGTATAAACTATGTTTACTATTACAGATAGTCATGGAAGCACCATTAGGTGACATTGGCTATAGGTGAAAGGAAACCAGAATTTTTGTATTAGTATGAGAGGCTAATTTATTATTGCATTTAGATCTACTGACCATGTGAGGGAGTAAGAAGTTAAACAGCTGTATCTAGTTCATCTCTGCATATTTTAATCCAAATATGGTAAAGGGCAGGGCTAAGGAAGGGAGTGTCCCTATAATAAACAGGGCTCAGAACTTGTAACAGAATATTAAATTATACTCCGCTCAAGAGAACTCTGCACTTTGCACTTTGGTTAAAGTATCATTTAGATTTAAATCTCTAAACTTTTCTTAAGAAATTAAGTTCTATTTGATTTCCTCTTTTCTGAATTGCAGAAATCAGGTAAAACTACTTGACAAAAATGACTTCTTGTCATGTTACTGAAGATCCTATAAAAAAGGTTGCTATCTTTGGAGGAACTCATGGCAATGAATTAACAGGAGTATTTCTAGTTAAGCGCTGGCTGGAGAATGGCACTGAGATTCAGAGAACAGGGCTGGAGGTAAAACCATTTATTACCAACCCAAGAGCAGTGAAGAAGTGTACCAGATATATTGACTGTGACCTGAATCGAGTTTTTGACCCTGAAAATCTTGGGTAAGACTACATTTTGTGTTGTAGCATGTGTGCGTGTGTGTGTGTGTGTGTGTGTGTGTGTGTGAGAGAGAGAGAACACGTATATGTAGCACATGATACACGTATCCGTACGTATAGTCGCTGTTGTGAAATGGATCACTTTCACTTTTAATCATACTCCGCTATGAAGTACTCAATTACCTAAACTGGGCCTCCACATGCTCTTTTATAAACTTTTAAAAGTATCAGACTGTTCTTAACTGATTTTCTTTTTAAATGCATTCTGTACAGACTAAGACAATAACAATGGTTTTTATTTTTAAATCATATCTTTAAAAAAACAGATTTAATAGTCTTTTGTATTATATTAGTTTTGGCCTGTATGCTTGCATACATATTTGTTAGCTTCCTAGGTGGTTCACTACTATGTTTTTATACAACTATATTCATGGCAGTAATAAAGTTCTAGTCAAAAAAATTGTAATATTTCAATTAATATTTGTTGAATATGAAAAAGTGAATAAATACCCATCATCAAAAACCATCACACCACCTTGTCAAATGAGGAGTGTATGTACTGGCTTCAGCGGTGGATCCCTGAGAGATAAAAGCACTTCACTTGCATTTTCTGAATTTAAATTGCAGCTGATTCATAATACATTGCAAGCAGTGTATGCAATAGTAACACTCTAGGTATTACAATATAATACATAATATAAATAATGCTAATTATTTTTGCCTTTGTTTACATCCTTATAGCTCCTAGTATAGATATATAGGCCTCTTAGTATTTGTTTTTCACCACTTTCTTTTATTTACCTAAAAATATTATTAAACACCTACTCTTCACGGGGCACTGTGCCAGGTACTGTGGGAGTACTATGAACAAAATGGTTTCTATCCACAACGAGTTGGAAAACAACTAACTGAGATGGAACACGTGCAAAGGAACAACTCACACAGCAGCCACTGCCCTGTGTACTCATGTTCTAATAAAGGCGCTAACTGAGGGCGCCTGGCATGCGCATAGTCGGTGCCAGCCATCAATCAATTTCAAAGCCAGGTCACTGACCTCTTCGTCTGTCCGTCAGAGTTCGAGCCCCGCCAGGCCGCTCTGTTGATGGTCAGAGCCTGGAGCCTGTTTCCCATTCTGTGTCTCCTCTGTCTCTGCCCCTCCCCAGCACCATGTTTGCCCTCTGTCTGTCCCAAAAATAAATAAACGTTGAAAAAAAAAATTAAAAAAAAAAAAAAAAAAAAAAAAAAAATAAAGGCTAACTTGAGTTTACAGAGTTACTTAAATTTAATCTCACAACAGATCAAATACAGTTACTACCTTTAGTACAAATATGCCTCACTTTATGAAATAGATGTTTTAGGGAGAATTATACATTTTGTGTATCAAAGCATATTTTTACTAGCATACATTTTAATTTCAGGAATGCTTTATCTTCATGACTGAGGTTATGGTGATACAATTAAGATTTTATCTATTCACCTAGGGGTGCCTGGATGGCTCAGTCGGTTAAGCTTCTGACTTGGCCTCAGGTCATGATCTCGCAGTTTGTGGGTTGGAGCCCCATGTCGGGCTCTGTGCTGACAGCTCAGAGCCTGGAGCCTGCTTCGGATTCTGTCTCTCCTTCTCTCTCTGCCCCTCCCTCGCTCATTCTCTCTCTCTGTCTCTCTCTCTCCCTCTCCAAAAATAAATAAAACATTAAAAAAATCTTTTTAAAGATTTATCTATTCACCTAAAATAGCTTTTAACTAACTCTTATAAGAATTTGTTGAAGAATAATGCTTTTAGTCGGCATGTTAACTTCTTAAATAACTCTGAAATGGACTGGGGTGGGTTTTCCTATTATGACCATCAGTAGTATGCATTGTCCGTGAGAGCAGTCTTTAAAATTAAATTCGCTTTCTGCTTCTTATACTTTAACACTATTCAGAAGCTAGGCAGTTCTCTCTCAGGGTAGTTATCACACTTATAAAATTTAATTACCTTCTCCTGACTTCCCTCTCCCAAATTTGCTCCTTTTCCTATATTCCCCATCTCAGTAATGTCACCATTACCCATCAAATCTTCTATGGAAATCAACTTAGAATCTTCCCTGTTCCTCAAGCCCCATGTCTACCAAGTCACTAAATCTTCCCGTTTATTCAAGCATTGAATATTTTGCAATCCAATACTCCTCTTCATTTTCGCTACCTTATTTCATTTCATCTGTGGACAGAGTAGCCTCCTAAAGAATCTTTTTTCATCTAGCCTTACTCCAATCCTTCCTGCCATTGACTCAGTTTAATAGCAGCCATAGGGATCATCCTGACAGGCAAATCTTATTATGCCCTTCCCCAGCTGAAAATTCTTCAAAAATCTATCTGGCATAGATTTAAGTAACTTAGTGTGATTAAAGTGCCTTTTAGGATCTTGCTCCTGCCCATTCCTTCTGCTTCATCCCTTGAGACTCTTCCTATGAGACCGGGGCCACGGGCATGAGAACTCAAAGTGTCCATTATCTTTCAAGACTTCAAGCCTTGGCTCTGAGCAACTGGGTGGTTAGTGATGCCATTACCGACATGGGGGAGAATTAGAAGCAGATCATTTGGGTGTAGAGGAACCTCACTGAGTTGTTTCATGAATTAACGTTTAAATATTTATTTTGAGAGAGAGACAGAGCATGCAAGCAGGGGAGGGGCAGAGAGAGAGGAAGAGAGAGAATCCCAAGCCGGCTCCCGGCTGTTAGCACTGAGCCCTATGCGGGGCTCCATCTCATGAACTATGAGATCGTGACCTGGGCCAAAATCAAGGGTCTGATGCTTAACCAACTGAGCCACCCAGGGGCCCCCATGAATTAACTTTTAAAATGCATACCTATCCATTAGGAACTATGTTTGGTTGCATATAATAAAAACCTGAAAACAGTGGTTTAAGTAAAGGTTTCTTTTTCACAAATCAGTCTGGAGCTTGGCAGTCGAGGGCTGGTTGTAGTGGTTCAATAATAACATAGCGCCACAGGTCTCTTCTGTCTTCCCACTGCACCTTCCTTAGTATGCAGCTTTTGTCCTTATTCTTTTTGCTTTATGGTCAAAAAATGGCTGCTCCATCTTCTTGATTGCATTTTAGGCAGGAATTACCCAGGTTCCAACTGTAGGTCCCTTGAAGACACTAGCAAAAATAGTCAGGGAACAGAAATAGATGGAAGTATAGAGAAGTGGTTGAGTTAAACCATTGTTTAATGAGGAAAAATAAACTTAAATTGTCAACATACACAGTAAGGGAAAAAAAAATATCCTAAAGAGTGAGGAGAGGTAGAGACTGATTTGAGAATTCAATAAAAACCTCATCCCAGAAAAAAAATATGTATGCATATGCCTGCAAAATTTTGCATTTTTGTCGAGTTTACAGACTTTGTAAAGCTTACCCTGGACCATAATGGTTCCTGGGACCTCAATTAGAATCCCTAATTAGGTAACGTGATCACCTAAGTTTACTATTTTTGTGGACTAGAATTAGCTAGAGGACAAAAAAAAATTTATGTGTGTGTTTGATAGTCTAGCCCCAATAAATAGCCCAGTGCACATAACTATTTAAAAAAAAAAAAAAAACCAAACTATTGATTAAATTAATGAATACATTTTGTTAAACATTGAAGTCAAATGGTGAATTCTGTTTGAAATGTCCTCCCTGGGATCAGCCACATGAATGAACTACTGTTTGTGAGCATGCCAATGCACCATTACATAAAATCAAATGGAGAAAAAAGAAGGAAGTTTTTATTTATGAAATTTTGAAATAAGTTTCCACTTGACTTACAGATTTTTCATATTAAAGGTTTGGCAACTGTTTCCTTATACACTGTGTTCTTATTGTATGTTTAATGTTATCTTAGCCACAGATGTTGTTAAATCTTTTTCTTTCTGCTAATAACAGCAAAAAAATGTCAAAGGATTTGCCATATGAAGTGAGAAGGGCTCAAGAAATCAATCATTTATTTGGTCCCAAAGACAATGAATATTCCTATGACATTATTTTTGACCTTCACAACACTACTTCTAACATGGGGTGCACTCTTATTCTTGAAGATTCCAGGAATGACTTTTTAATTCAGATGTGTCATTATATTAAGGTAATGTCAATGTTATTAATTAAAATTCTTTTTTTTTAATATTTACTTATTTTGGGGAGAGCTCAAGCAGGGGAGGAACAGAAAGAAGGGGACAGAGGATCTGAAGTGGGCTCTGTGCTGACAAGCTGACAGCAGCGAGCCCCATGTGGGGCTCAAACTTATGAACCGTGAGATCATGACCTCAGCCGTAGTCAGATGCTCAACCAACTGAGCCACCCAGGTGCCCCAGTGTTATTAATTTATAAGTTAGCATGGTACCTGTACTTTTAAGTCAATTGTAGATGTAGAGCCACCAGAAAAGGGTTGGAAGAGGGGGTCCAAGAGAGATGCGGGAGTGGGAGGAGTGCACCAGAATAGAGGTGGTGTTGAAGGCAGGAGAAAAGTTGAGGAAATGAGTAAAATAATAAACACAGTGAACAAAATAATAAAACAGTTGCGGATTCTCATGTTTATAAAATTATAACTCACTTATCCAGACAGCCACTAAACCATAAGCTATTTGGTAAAATCAATACCCACACTTAAAATGGTATAGTTGACATAGCTCAATGCTAGTTTTAGGAAGCTTGAGAAATAGTCATTTAATATGACCAAAGACCAGTGATAAAAAGGGTGGCTCTTTTTAGTTCTGCCCTTGTCTCCATTTGACTCAGATACCCCAACACATGTCTGTTCTTTCAGTACTTGTATAGCTAATCATTTTAAGGCTCAGAAATTTACAAGATGAAAAATTCAGCAATCCAGGGCTGACAGCTAGAGGAAAATTGCTAGAAAGTAACAACAAAGCAAAAAACACAAATAATGAACTATGTGTTTATTTCTGTATAATGGCTACTCTTCCTTCCAGAGGGCCAATATGCTTAAGTGGAAGGAGTTTGACCTGTGTATCCAGGAGAACCTGGGCTTATATCCTCGCTTTCTCATTCACTAACCTTGGACAAGATACTCCACACCCCAAACCTTGCTTTCCTTGTATACAATTGGCATAATAACACTTACCCATAGGAGTGTTAAAAGCCTTAAGTGAGATACAGCATTGAGCCTTATACCTAGCAGACAGTAAAGATTAATTGTTAACTTCTGTTTCCCTTGAGTTTTTGACAATAACTAGCTAGCAGTTCTGGTGGGAGATCATAATTCAGTGATTCTTTTTGTTCATTGAAGGGAGAGTTGAATGCTCTGGTTACCAGGCATAGAAGCAGCATGGCTGACAATGTTATCAAAATCCAGAGGCCTTATCTTGAATTCTCATTCAGATAAGTCGAGGTGGGGGGGGGGGGGGGGGGGGTTACCTAACATCTGTACGGACCTGGACCATAAGGGTAGAGACGGAATTCTTTATGAGACCTATACTAAACTAAATAGGAAGTGTCACCAGTGGTGAAAACAAAAATAGCCAAATCCATTGAGAAGGAAAATTTATTTCATACATTTTTGATCATGGTTCTGGAGAATTGTTTAATGTACTTTTTGCCCAGAAAGCTATGTATAATTCAATTTTATATGTAATTCATTGATGTGTTTTCAAAGCTATAATAATAACACTGAATTTTAGAGTGTTTCATAAAGCTGTCTTACCTTTGTATTCTATTACTTGATGGAGTAAAGCATATTGAAGCCATTATTGACTCTCTAGTGGCAAAGAGAACAAAGCATATGGTCTTTACATAATAAGAAAGATGTTTTAAATTCTTTTCAGACTTCTTTGGCTCCATTACCCTGCTATGTTTATCTTATTGAGCATCCTTCCCTCAAATATGCAACCACTCGTTCTATAGCCAAGTATCCTGTTGGTAAGTCATATTTCCCATTGTCACAACTGCACAAAATATGTCCTGGATGAAACTCTGAGACAGTTATTTTCTGGAGAATATTTATAGCTACCTTGCTTATCACTATGGCTTATAATTGTCAAGTAAAAGCAAACTAACTCCAGGCAGGCTCTAACTATATCAAATGTCCTCAGTTTCATTGAGCACTTTCTGCATTCCAGGAGAGAAACAGTGAACTGAGGGAACTCGGATCTTTTATAATACGCAGTAAACATGCCTGCCCTTGTGCCTGGAAAGAGATCATCTCTATCTTCCAAGACTGTTCACTGTAAAAACATTCTTAAAAAATAATCTGGAACCAAGGCAGTCAGTGTCTTGCTGGCAAGACATGCAGAAACACCAGAGACCCATAAAAAAATCTTTTCCCAACTTTCCTTTTAGCACCTGTTTTGTACTCATGTCTCCCAAGAGTTGTTTGCTATCTATCCACTCACTTGTTTCCGTGTCAGTTACCGAGCTGTGAATGCATCTTTACCCTCTGGCAAGTTCCAATATGGAGGCTTGCACATCAGACAGTCTCTTTTTTTTCTATATTCCACTCTCTTTCCCGAATGACCTGCTAGCATAATTGTTTGCACAACTTAAAATCCTTTTTTGTGAGATCTAAGATGGTTTTAACCAAGAGTAATTTAATTTCAAAACAAGTTGTCAAACAGTATCAGCAAATTTAAAGTTATCTTGGTTATTTAATTGTTGGTAATTTTGGTGCATAATCGGGGATCTATTGGGGCAAAGGTAAATATCTAAGTATAGGTAATTATTCGAAATAAACCAAATGCTTAACAATGAATGATAGAGATCCTGTTTTTCTGGGACACCAAATAAAGCTGAAGATTTCCACACTTTGAAAAAGCATTCTTGGTATATGATATTTGTGGGGAAATGCTGCTCTTAACTAGAACAAATATCTACCAATATATTTGCCCCTTTTTAGGACCAAGCCTTTCAAATATTTCAATATGATAGAGTACTAAGATCATCATAAACAATTAGAAATACTGTATGTTATCCTGCCAACTTCATTAATTTGGAATATTTTTATACCATCCACTCACTGGGGGGAAAATACTTAAGCTCAGACAGAAACTATCTCCAACCCAACGTTTTACGATATATCTCTATTGTCTCATAGAAATTTGCTCTAGCTTCTACCAGCCTCCAAAAGGACCACCTTTGTATTCTATTCCCAAGGCAGCTGAAATGTGGCAGGATCATTCTAAGTAAACTTTATTGTGGAAAGAAGCTGTTTTCTGCAGCCAGCCTTATGATCATTCACAGAATCTTCTTCATTTTCTGTCTCTGTTTCTCTGTCTCTCTCTCATGTGTGTGCATGCACACACATACACACATGCACACACACACAGAATACTCTAGACAGAATCTTCTCCTAAGTTAACCTTCCCAGATCAACCATGGCCTCATTTGAGACTCAGAAGATTTAAGTTTATGACCACTACTTCTTCAGCTCCACTTGGGACTATGCTGTGGCTATTTCCTAAAACTTTAAACATTCTTCTCTGATACAGGATCTTGTGTCAAGGGTAATTGTTGGTTTAGAAAATATGGCCACCCTGTTATCTTCCACTCACAATCAGAAAGGAAAAAATCCTTCAATAACTGACTCTTCTGACTCAGACACCCTCTTCTACCAATCACAGCTGCTCTCCACACCTTCCATCTCCTCTCCAAACAAGAATATGTACAATATTTTTGGCTGCACAAAGCTCAAATGGCTTAAACAATAAAATAAATTTATTATTTTACATTACAGCTCAGCACATCATGAGGGGCCAGGTTCTTCTTATCTTTTTAGTATACCATCTTTAGTGGAGTTTTTTAGCAGCCCCCATGGCCACAAGATGTCCACTGTAGTTTTAAGCATCATATGCCAATAATACAATATCTAATGGGTGAAAGAAAAGTCTTAGGAACTCCCTGCAGACCTCTGTTATAACCACTTGTTCAGAACTGGATCACATATCCATTCTTAAATCAATCACTAGGATAATGGGAGTACTATAAACGACTTAAACTATTCCATATTTACACCTGGGCTGGAGAAAAGTTCACTTACCTGGAAGACTGGATACCAAACCAAAATCAGGACTCTATCAGTAAGGAAGAAGTGGAATGGCTTTTGGATGGGCAACCAATAATGTCTTCTACAACACACATATAGACATATCCTTGAACATGTTTTAACACATGTGTACAAATCATTTATACACAAAATGCATACGTTAACCACATTTATACCACATACTTAAATGTGTGTCCAGACGTATATGCAAAAAAGCTAAGCACAACAAATAAAAAATAAATGTCAAATACAGAAAGATTTTGTGAATCAAGAAATAAGAGAACTGGGTAAAAATAGAATGGGTGAAAAAGAATGTATATGAATGGATATGAATTGGTTAGAAAAGAATGAATGATATTATTTTTGATAAATGGGGGATAACTGTATGGGAGACTGGAACAGGAGGGAGGTAACTAGATATTTGGTTTAGAGAGACTGTTTTGTAGGTGTGAGGATGGATTGTATTGGGGTGAGAATAAATGAATACAAATTAATCCTAGGGAAAACTAAAACTATTGCACCATCACATTAGAATTAGTTGTTATGTTAAGGGCAAGAATGTTGCTCTAGGGTCACCTAGATGGTCATGTTAACCATCCATGGCACCAAATTTCTGTGACTCAAATAGATGCATTTCCTCCTGTCAAGACTAAATGTTGACAATGTTGATAATATGGCAATATTGAAGGATATTTAAACAAAAAATGACCCCAAGATCTTACTACTCTAATATAATTCTTTGATATTTTTTCATGTTTTCTCTCAGTTTTTATTCACTATGCTTATAATGTGTACACGTAAATCTTCTGCTTTTATGTTTTGCCTAACATTGTCTCACATATTTTCCATGATGCTACATGGTCTACCTTTTTAATCATTTTAATGATGAGATTCTAGGTGTTAATATATGAACGTGCTCAATTGTCTAATATATTGTAATATTTATATAAATATTATATATACCCCTTCTGTACCGAGGTGTAGAAGTTGGTCCCCAGCCTCAAGGAGTTCTGAGAGCTGATATTTTGGATCAAATGAGAAAAATGATCAAACATGCTCTTGATTTTATACATAATTTCAATGAAGGTAAGTAGGAGGCAGGAATTATTTCCTTGTTAGTGTGTGTGTGTGTGTGTGTGTGTGTGTGTGTGTGTGTGTGTAAATCAGAAAAGTGAGATGAAATGAACACACATAGTGACCTAACCACTAAACGCTGATACAGCAATTGTCAAATTTGCCATGCTCATGATATTAGATGTTTTTAAAAATGTTATTCACTTCAGCCATTCCTCAATGACCAGAGTAGACACATTTAAGCAAAACAGCTACTAACAAATCTCCCCAAATAAAATCCTCATTTTCTGCTAATCTCCACCGTAAACAGCAAAGAACCACTAAGAAATACAAATATCCAATAAGCGCATGAAAAGATGTCCAACATTACTACTAATCAGAGAAACACCAGTTAAAGTGAGAAACTATTTTCTCCCACCAGAGTGGGCAGATATTAAAACCTGATAGTATTAACTGATGGTAAGTGTAGGAAAAGAGGATGCTCTCATTCCCTGCTGGTATAAATCCAGTAAGGACACGTTAGAGAATAATTTTTATAGTATCCACTCCTGAAAATGCACAAATCCTGTGACCCAGCAAGTCCATACCTCAGAGACATGCAAAAGCACAGGCACACCCACTGTGTCACATGCAAGGGCGGTCATCAGCATCATTGTAACAGCAAGACAATAGAAATGACCTGAATATTGATCCATTGGTGAACAATTAAATAAATTAATGTGAAAAGATCTTCAAAATACATTGTTAATTACAGAAAGCAAGCTACAAACCAAAACATACAGCACTATACCAGTTTGCTTCAGAATAATAGTAATAAACACTTGCTAGAATACACATACATATATATGAGGAAAAAACAGGTTAATTTTATTTTAATTGTTTTCAAGGTGAACGATGTATTTGCATATTATTTGTGTAATTAAAAAACAATTAAATGGGGCTGGTGGCAGGATGATATATGGAAGTCTACTATCTGCTCATTTATTTGATAAACCTAAAACAGCAAAAAATAAAGCCTATTGATTATTAAAAAATAAATGTACTTGAAAATTTAAAACTAAGGTATAATTGAAATAAAATCAAAGAAAGCTGAAACTAATATAACACTCTATGTTAACTATACTGGAATTAAAATTTAAAGAGTTAATAAAATTTGTAAAAATTTAAAAATTCCTGAGAGAGAGAAAGAGAGAGAGAGAGAGAAAGGGACATCCTACATAAATAATTACTCCAGCAGGCTTCATTGGAATTGTCGTTGAGGAATGGGTCATTATAGTGACAAAGCTGGAGAATAGTTCAGTGTCATGGGGGAGTATAATTCCTTAACCTCAGATTGTGCACCCTACTGCAATCACAGGAATTTCTTCTGTGCTTGGGAATCCTTTGACTCCAAAGTCATAAAGACTGAAGATCAGCTTTTTACCACCTATGTCTGAGAACCGGTTCTATAACTGTCTCATGCACCTGGTATTGGGAAGGTCACCACTAATTGACAAGAAACCCTTCCGATAGTAAGTAGGGACTACCTTACATTAAGGAACAGTGAACCCAGGTACAAGACCATAGACATGAGAGGAAAGACATGTTTTTCAAATCATAGTCCATAGATTCCTATCCCCAGGGGTGGGGATCTCATGGCTGTCTTGTAGTCCCAGGACAGGCACCCCTACCTCTGCTCCTACCAGACCAGTTCTTCTGTTTTATTGCTCTTCCATGTAACGTTTTATTTAACAAAGGATCCTGCAATTCAAAAATTTTAAACCACTATTAATCTTGACTTTCCAGTTTGGTGGATTTTTAACTAACATGGGAAGAACACCATTATCCAAAGAATGCTGACAAAGAGATAACCACCTAGAGAAAAACTCTCTAGAAATGTGCAGAAGAGCTCCATCCTTGGCTTTGTGCTACTCAAAATTATTACTAGTAAGTTGGATGAGGATATATGTGACATGCTTATATATAAATGAAAGGTGGCAGGAAGCTTGCAGGAAAATATCTGTGGTTAGAAGGTAGATCTAAAAAGTGCTGACAACCTTTAACAATTGTGTGAGGCAAATATTTTAGGTTAACTACATTTCAGGTTCAAAATTTGCTTTTATGTTTAAAAAAAAATCCCAGAATAAGAGAAGTGATGGTCTCTTTTCTGCATTGAATAAACACCACTTGGAGAATGTGAATAAATTCTGAGTCCGTATTTCAGGAGGAACCTGTATGAAGTAGAGGTTAGCCAAGGAGAGAATTGAGAAGGCTGAAGAGTTTAAAAACCATAATATAAGAGCCATCCCTAAGATGCACGTAGAACTTCAGTTTACAAAGTATCTTCACATATAACCTCACGAATGTGACATATGTAAGTAGAGAAGAATTCTTAGGCCAGCAAAAGAAGACTTTTTATATTAGAGTTTTAGACGTGTCATACTGGAAAGCAGCAATTAGACATGTTTTCTGTGACTCTGAGGACAGAATAGAATCAGTGGGATGAAGTCACCTAGAGACATAAATGTCTGATTAACAAAGCTGACCGACAATGGAATGGACCACACTTTGTGAGGCCATCCAAGCAGGAGTAAGATGATCACTTGGCCAGAAAGACGTGGAGAATTCTCAAGCACTGATGAGGTTAGGCATTTGAGGCTTCTTCCAACTGTGAGATTCTAAGTAGCAAACTTAGAACGCTTCTTTACGTTCTACCACCTTTTTCTGTCCTTCTGCTTTAAAGAGATGACACCTGATAAGTTTCTATCTTCCCTTTGGAAGATGGAGTAGATTGTAAAAATGCCCACAAATTCTTCCCTTCCCTGTGTCCGTGTTCTCACAATGTGATGTTTTATTTATTTTTTATTTTATTTTATTTTTTTTTTAACGTTTATTTATTTTTGGGACAGAGAGAGACAGAGCATGAACGGGGGAGGGGCAGAGAGAGAGGGAGACACAGAATCGGAAACAGGCTCCAGGCTCTGAGCCATCAGCCCAGAGCCCGACGCGGGGCTCGAACTCCCGGACCGCGCGATCGTGACCTGGCTGAAGTCGGCCGCTTAACCGACTGCGCCACCCACACGCCCCAACAATGTGGTGTTTTAGATCCTTCTGCCAAGAAATGGAGTTTATTTCCCTACCTCCTGAATCTGGCTTGGCCACATTACTTGTTTTGTGCCGCAGAAGAAACTCAAAAAGGACTTGCTCACTGGAGCTTGCTCTCTGCTCCTCCTCGGAACCCTGTACTGCCAGTATGTGGATCAGCCTAGCCTAGCCTGCTGAATAATGAGAGGTTAGGAGGCAGAGAACTCAGACACCCCAGCTCCAGCTGCCAGCCTGGCAAATGCCAGACATGAGAGTAAGACCATCTTAGATCATCCAGCCTCCAGCTGACCTACCACCAGCTCACCACAAATGCATGAGCAAGCCAGTCAGAAATCAGAAAGCCAGCCTACACCGGGGGAACTGCCCAAACATTCCACAGAATCATGAGCTAAACTGGGGGTGGTTGTTTCACACCACTCAGTTCTCGGGTAGTGTGTTAAGCAGCAAAAGCTAACTGATACAGAAGTGATCACAGGCTATCCACATTCCAACCCGGGGCTGCACTTTCTGTTCTAAGGACAAAGGAGGAGTTTCCTTTCAGTTGCAACCATAGCACACTAAGGATCCTCTCTTGGATGAAAATTCATCCAGTTTACACAGAGCTGCCTGGTGTACGTGTAAACTACTCCCTTTACACGTTTCTGGGCATTGGGTTATTTAATGTTGCCTCATCTTTGGAAGTCAGGCTGCCTGCATCCTAGGGTCTCACATACTTAGTTAAGAGAAGGAGCACCATGCTGAAGTCACCTAACCTGCCAGAAGTCCCCCTGAGGATGTGCAGTCATAGAATGTCAGAGCTGGAAGGGCCCTCCGAGATACTGTCAAAACCTTCGTTTGACAAGTAAAGAAAGTGAGCCTCCAGAAGTTCAGCATCTTGCTCAGGATCACACAGCTAGACTGAAGCCCAGGTGTCCTGACTCCCAGCCTATCCTGGCTTTTCAAGTTCTGCTTTCTGCCTCTCCCCATTAGTGTACTTGTGGATGGTGAACCAATAGGAATAATTTGAGAACCTCTTTTGGCTGGATGTTGGTTAAGAATACCCTTAACTTAAAATGGTATGTTCTCCCTGTAACTGTCTTCCTTTTTGGGGTGTTGTTCTTCCCTTAAAGTTTCAACTTCCTTTTTTTCAAGAGATTCTTCTTAATCACTATTCATACATGTTGTTATCACCATAGGAGAAGAATTCCCCCCCTGTGCTATTGAAGTCTATAAAATAATGGAGAAAGTTGATTATCCTAGGAATGAAAATGGAGATATTGCCGCTATTATCCACCCTGACCTGCAGGTAACATTTGCTGTTTCTTTAAAGTATTCAAATTAATGATGTCTCACTTTCAAATAGAACTTTACAATTCATAAACCATTTTACATACATTAGCTCGTTTACCTGCATTACCTACATTTACCCACATTAGCAGTGTAGGTAAGGTATTCAGACCTTCGTTCAATAAATATTATTGAGTATATCCTCTGCTGGCTCTGGGGATACATCAGTGAATATGGTCTATACTCTCATGAGATTTATAGATGTACTAAACTCCAAACTGTGGTTTAGAAATCAAGATAACCAGATGCCATAAAAGAATAATGAAGTGGGGAGGAAGAGGTCAGACAAGGCCTCTCAGGGAAGGTGAAATTCCTGCCCAAGTGCGATGGACAGGAATTATTGTATCTATTTTATCATAAGAAAACAGGCTCACACAGGTTTCTAGTTATGGAATGATTAAGTCACAGAGTAAAAAGGCACAGCATAGGGAATATAGTCAATGGTATTATAATAGCGTTGCAACTACACTTGTGGTGAGCGTAGCATAAGGTATAAACTTGTCGAATCACTATGTTGCACATCTGAAATTAATGTAACATTGTGTCAACTACACTAAAAAAAAAAAAAGTTGTTTAAAGAAAATAAAATTTAGATCTTCCCCATAGTCTTACAGCTATCAATGGCACATCCAGAACTAATGTTCTTTGCAGTTGACCACATTGCTGCCACCTCCCTGTGATCACCACTGAATAAGTTAGAGCAAAACACTCAGAACCTCCTTCTCTGTGGTGTTTTCTACCACCACTCCCTGACTCTCCTCAGAACCCCAGTATCTGCTCCTTCTCTGGTTTGATCAATAATGGCATAGTTAAGGGGGGAAAAAGGCTCTTGGGAGAGCATAGGAGATTGAAATCTAGAAAAGGCAAAGGCAGAAGCAAGGAGAAGCAAATATTCCAAAAAGCTAAAATATCCATATCAATTGTGATAACCCTATGCACCCTCAGACAGATGGAAAAGACTTGGCGGATTATCTAGTCTGGGGCTTTCAACTCTGGTCATACATTGCCTAGAGAGGCTTTGAAACATAACAATGCCAGGATCCCACTTTGAGCTAATCTGATCTTACTGGCCTGGGTAATCAGAGTGGAAAACTACTGATGCAGTTCAGACTCCGATCTAATGACCCTAGTAACAGTCATCCAGACTTACAACTTAATAAAATAAGCTGTCTGTAGACAAGTGGAGCAAATCCTGCTTTCTGCCTTAGTGGGATCTGGGTGGAAAGCGGAAGAAGGAGCCTTAGGCAATGTTTGAAAGGAAAGAAATATAGAGATTGAGGGAGAGAGGAAAGCACTACAGGTAACAAAAATAGCAAGTACAAGAAACAGAGGCCAAGGTGATGATGTCATAACTGGCTACAACACAGGATTTTTTTTAAGATTTGTATTCCTCAAGGATCCTTGAAGAGTACAAACATCATCCTGGTGAAGCAGAGAAGTGAGGTTAATGAGATGAGTAACAAACAGGGTTTGTGGTAGGTCTTGAAAGGAAGGACAGTATTGATTTGGTTGCTCAGTATTTACAAGGAGTGAGTGATTCACTAATTATTGCAATAAACATATTTGAGGGGCACCTGGGTGGCTCAGTCTGTAAAGCGTCTGACTTGGGCTAAGGTTGTGATCTCACTGTTTGTGGGTTCGAGCCCCACGTAGGGCTCTGTGCTGACAGCTCAGAGCCTGGAGCCTGCTGCGGATTCTGTGTCTCCCTCACTCTCTGCCCCTCCCCCCCTCGTGCTCTGTCTCTCTGTCAAAAATAAATAAATATTTTTTTAAAAAATACATATATTTGAATGACTACTAAGCCTGTTCTGGGCCCTGAGGTTCAAGATAGACAAGATCCCTCACGGAGCTTCCATAGTAATCAGGGGATAATGGACCGTGAATAAGTAAACAATACATAAACCAGATCATTTCAAATTGTAATGAGTACTATAAAAGAAATGAACAGAATAACAGAGGCTAACAGAGGGTTCCTATCAGATGGAATGGTCTGAAAGAGCCATCTCTTAGATGATGGCATTGAAGCTGGAGCCTGGGCAATGAGAAGTCATCCACGTGGAAAACAAGTCCAAAGGCCCTGAGGCTAGAACAAACTTGGAGTGTTTGAGGAATAAATAGCAAGACCAGTGTCCATGGAGATCAGGGAGCGAACACTGAGGATAGTTGATCCTGGAGAGAGAGACATAGACAGACACCTGCTTGTGAGTCCAGGTTTCATTCAAAGAGAGACAGTTCTTGGTCATGGATGCTCACTGGAATGATCTAGAGGATGTACTCCCAAATGCCCGAAGCCTATTACAAAAGCACTAAAGCGGTGCTTCTCAAACTCAGGCCACAGGAGAATCACCTGAGGAGCTTTTAAAAAATCTTGATGCCCAGGCCCCTTCCCCAGGGATTCTGATTTAGCTCCTCAGGGTGCACACAGGAAATCAGTTAGGTTTACCAGGTGATTTTCATGTGGCTCAGGTTTGGGTATAGTTATATCTATAGGTATCTATAGATATAGAAAGTTTATTTATTTATTTTGACAGAGAAAGAGCACAAGCAGGGGAGGGGCAGAGAGAGAGAAAGGGAGAATCTCAAGCAGGCTCTATGTTGTCAGCACAGAGCCCGACTCGGGGCTGGAAGCCTTGAACCGTGAGATGAAACCATGAGATGACCTGAGCTGAAATCAAAAATCTGATGCTTAAACAACTGAACCACCCAGGTGCCTCATACTCATCTATATTTTTTAAATAGCCCAGTCAATTATAGCGTGCAGGCAGGGTTGAGAAACTTACCATAATGCAGAGCTTCCCAAACTTTAATACTATGCATGTGAATCTCTGTGGACTTGTTAATATGAAGGCACATCTGCAGCGGGGGAAGAAATTGTGCTTTAATAATAAATTCCCAGGTGCTGCTGAGAAATGTTAGAAGTGCAGAATCACGGAACCCCAGACCTCTAGAATCAGAATCTGCATTTTAACAAAATCTGTACACAATCTGAAAACATATCAAAGTGTGGGAAGAGCTGCTTTAGGGTTCTTGTGATGTGACAGCACTGGTATTTGAGAGCTCACGGTCTGGATCAGATAACTCCGTTGTTATCATGGAGAACATTCACCTTATCCTAAGACAGGTCCCAGCCCATCCCCACTTTGTCTCACTAAGCCCCATCAGAATAGAGTCCCTTGGTGGGCAGACACAAGGACTCATTTTTTACATCCCTACAGTACAATGTCTTGCACACTGTTATTTCTTAAACTTTGCTGAACAGGATTTAACTTCTGCTAGCAACAGGTAGAACATACACTTAGGGAGACATGCATTTATTTGGCCCTTTAATATTCTGAATCTCTTTGGCAACATTCAAGGCAAACTTGGTATTGAAACAAACTCCAGTCACATGTATGTGGTATAAAAACTAAATGGGGAACTCTTAAAACTGCCGCCCAAATTAATGGTTCGGTCTCAGTTTGGCCAGATCACTCATGGGCCTCCCAACACATCTCTCAAATATCTCTTTTGTTAGACACTGCTATAATTTGTTAGTTGTCTAGAGAGCCCGAAGTAAAACCTTTAAGGTGGGGAAAAAGTCTAAATGTAACTTACGTATTTTAATTGTTTCCTGAGAGGATCAAGACTGGAAACCGCTGCACCCCGGGGATCCTGTGTTTTTAACTCTTGATGGAAAGATTATTCCGTTGGGCGGAGGCAGTACTGTGTACCCAGTGTTTGTAAACGAGGCCGCGTATTATGAAAAGAAAGAAGCTTTTGCAAAGGCAACCAAACTAACACTCAACGCAAGAAGTATTCGCTCCTCGTTACCTTAAGAATCACTTCTAGCCCACCTGTGACACAGTATCTTGACAAACTCCACTAGGGTGTAAGCTCTTGAAGGGCAGGGCTGTGGCTTCTTCGACTTCATATCCTAGTACCTAGTCCAGTGCCTTACCACAGTGGGCATTCAGGCAAATTTTTGAATGAATGAATAAATTAATGCGTATCTTCTCAAAGTATCATAGTGGACACGTAGCTTATTCAAAGAAGTGCATTTCTTATTTCTGTATAACTTTTTATATATTATACTTTGAGAGTTTAACATTCTTAACAAACAGCCTTTAAATTCAAATTTCAAAACTGAAATGGATACTATACCTTAAAAGTTATTAACCTGAATCTAAAATTAAATGTGTTTTCAAGTAATGTATAAATGCTACTCAAAACTCATGATGCAGACTTGTGATTTTTAAATTTTTCATACCTGAATTAATGATAATATATTAAGCATCCCATCTGTAACTTTAGCAATAGTTGTGATATCCATAGGAGATTTGTAACTGCTCTTTTGAAGATGAAATGTGACCAGGAAATGAGGGCTGATTATAAAGGTGACACTAGGAATAAGTCAAGGACCTGAATGGCCCTTTGTCTGCAGTCGCCCACACAGCACAGCTGCCCCGACATGGCCCCTTGTTCTGCACTGACCTCGGGGAGCGGGGAGCCTCCTCCAGACATCTCACACTCCCCTTGGGAAGCTAACGTTCCTTCCCAACTTGGGAAAACCTGGAAGAGGCATATTCCTTCCAACCGTCGCTTCTCATTTTGAAAGAAGGCGCTTGCCCTTGTTCCCAGCCAACACGTGAGGAAGTCTTTGGGCTCCGGCAGCAAAGGCGGTAAAGACAGAAATAGCAGACAGCTGCTGGACACTAATGTGACCCAAAACCATGTCTCTGGTTCACAGATGCATTCTTTCAAAAAAGTGCCTGTGATCTAAATGCCCAAAACGCCTCCACACACACGATTCTTCTCCTCAAAGGTCTTTGGGCTGAAACACTGCCTCCCTCTCTCCCTCCAGCCCCTGCAGGAGCCTCCCTGCCTCCTCTTTTAGGCCCCAGCAGCCAAGTAAAGAGTGTTTTTATCCTGTGATTTGGACCCCAAGGAACCCATGTTTATGGTTTCAAATGTATGTACCAACCATCATACTGTTATCTGAAACAAAGATGTATGTACATATCTCATTCTCCAGAGTAAACCCCATTAAACTAATTTCATTTTCATATTCAGTGTTTTATAAAGCACAAATAAACTGTTTCTAAATTTTTCCGCACCAATATTTTTGTACTTTGCCAAAATGATTTTTATTGGAATAAACTCTCTTTCTTCTGAATTCTGAGTGAAAGTTCAATTTATCAATCTTCCTTCTTCCACTGTGAAAGTTCCTTCGTGTTTTATGTCTGAGTCCAGTTTTTCTGGGTCAGTTTTTTCCAGATGTAAATTTTGGCAAGAGTACTTTATTCTTCTATCAAACTTTAGTTACCTATAAAATTTACAATGTAAATGTAAAGTCTTATTTCCTCTGACTCAATATTTACAGTATTCAGAGTTTCTAATTAAATGTGATTTTTTAAAAACCTAGAGCTATAGCCACTTTCAGTTACAGACTTGATGTTTGCATTTGTAAAATGGGGTCATCATAATAGTGCCCCTTTCTTGGGATTACTGTGGAGAGTAAGTGGGCTGATGCAGCTGAGCTCTTAGCACAGTGCCCAGGACAGAATAACAAGTCATTGAAGTTCAAATTCCTAACACAAGGGCCCTTTGTGATTTGCCCCTCCCTCCCCTACAACCTTTCTAAATGCATCGCCCTTCAGGTCCTCTCTGTTCTAGTCCGCATCACATTGTTTTATTCCTATATGCCTTCACACAGACTGGTCCTCCCACCCAGAATTCTCTCCCTCCTTCCTCTGCTCCTTTCCCCCATTCAGCCCTCACTCTAGCTAATTCCTACTTCTCGTTCAAAATGCCCCTCAACTCCCATTTAATCTGTAAAGCCTTCTTGGCCTCTGCCTCTTTGCCCCTTCTGCTTCCGTCCGATTTTGAAGATACTACCGATGTCTTTTCAGTATCTGCAATCTAATAAGTGCCCAATAAGTGTGCTCAAACATCCCTTCTCTGCCGAAGCATCTTCATAATCCACCAATATCCCTATCTTCTCTATGCCTCCTCTCCTTCTTTCCCAGCCACGTCCTCAGTATTCCCATCATTCCCAAGTGAAATTTACTTTTCTACACTCTTCAGATGTCACTACGTCCCAAAGGATGACACAGGGAAAAATATACCTTTTTAGCCTGCAACCCCATTGCAAAAACAGGGAAATGTTCACATGTAATAATTCTTCTGTGTAAAACCTTTTAGTAGCTTCCCCTAACCCTTGATATGAAATCTCAAAGCCTCACGACAGCTGGACAAGTCCTCTGCCTACCACTCCACCCCCATTTCATGTCACTTGTCCCCTTGCTCCCAGAAACTTGGCCACACGGATTTCTCCATCCTCAGCTGCATCAAGCTCCCTAGTAACTTGAGGTCTCTGCCCACATTGTTCCCTCTTCTTGAAACCCTATCCCACCCCCATAGTCCCTTTACCTGGATGAGACATATTCTGAAATGTGACTGAGGCCACTCTGTTATTCAAACTCATTGGCACTACTGACTCGCACTAATTACTAAACCTCAGGGAGCCTGGATCCTTGGCCCAGGAAAAAGCACCATGACCTTTATGTGTCCTTCTACCTCTCTCCAAGTCTCAATTTCTCTGCTTATTAAATGGGGATATAATACTTATCAAATCTATAAAACTGTGTCATTAAAACAATCAATGTGATTGGAAAAGCTTTATAAATAGGAAACATACAATCTTAAAGGCTTAAGTTACAAAATACGTTTTGGAAGGTAATTCTTCACAATATCAAGAGCCATAAAACTGTTCATACCAATTGACCGAGGCATCCCACTCCCAGAACATATCCTATGACAGGGGTTTCCACCTTTTTTTTCTATCAGTCCACCCAGAATGCTCCCGTGGATAGCACATTCCTAGATTACAGGCCGAAGCTTGTTTGAGGTAGGATGTAGATTATGTATAATTCTCATTTCTTTGCCACTCAAAAAGACCCATCCCAGGAAAGGGTGTTACTCTAGGAGTCATTTGAAGGAAGTAAAAAATTCACCAAATGCAGCGAATCACTTATTAATAGATTGTTTGCAAGTTTTGCAACCCCTCAAGACCCAGCGGTGTCTTGGCATTCAAGTTAAAAACTGCCATCCTTATGAAATAAAAGAATTTTAAACATGCATGTACATAGGAGTTGGCGAATAACGATAGTAACATCATTGCCTCCTCACAAAGGTCCTGTGAGGTGGACAGAAGGGACTTACACTTTCTGGTCTCCACGTGGAGCCATGGTTTTGTAACCATGCAAAATAAGTGGACAGCCAGTAGGGCATGATGGATAGATCACTGCTTGGGGGTCATTTGGCCTAACCCGCTAACATTTTCTGGCTGTGATTCCTTGAGCGTGTCATTTCAACTCCCTTGGTCTCCCTTTACTCAAACTGACCCCAGAGTTGTCGAGTGGTTCAGATGGAATACTGGACATTCAGTGTACTGGGAGATGTACAAGGGTGACCTGCCTCAGCATACTGACTGTCCCTGAGCTGGAACCAATAATAATGCTTCAGGTCCAAAAAGTGGGCGGGCTCCCCTTTATCCCTAGAGAAAGCAACTCTCCAGGATTCTCAGCTGGTCTTCATATTGGCATACCTAAGACAAGGATAAATCATGATCATGACAAGGCAAAATAAATATTTATTAGAAATCGTAAAAGCATTTCTTCATTGGCACTAAAATGTTCTCTATGACTTCTTAATTTAACACAGAGTTACACACATAACACTAAAATCAAGTATGTGAATTAAAATTTACAAGGATCAGGCACATTCAGTGAGAACAAGGTGACAATCCTATGTTTGGGACCAAGATCACAGTATAAACATGTAAATCAATGCAAAAATCAAGTATGGCTTACAGGCCCGGATGAAGGCCCATCGACCTGGGCCCCGCCCAGAGCAAAAGGCCACAGTTCACCAGGCTTTGAGGAAGGAAAGGAACTTCAATAATACTGGGCTCTCTCAGGCAGGGGCCTTCTAAGAGCTTAATTACTTCACAGTACAACCTCATACCTTCTGCTACAACCCAGAGAGGAAGGTAAGCACCATTTTCATTCCAAACAGATACGTCACGTGATGTCTAGAATAATAGATTCCTCCTGAGGCAGTTTAGCTCAAGGAAAATTTCTAGCCAAAACCATTATCCAAGCATGGGAGATTCCATGCCTGGAAAATGCCTACCCCTTAAATTACTGAAATGTAAATCATGAAGTTTTAAGATGTCCTTATATGCCCATGGATTCAATGTGGCACGGTGTGTGTGTGTGTGTGTGTGTGGTTGGGACACACCTATGTGCACACTTGAGTTTTAAATCTGTCATAGGGATCATTGGGACAATGCAGACTGCCATCATGAATCATCTGAGCAAAAAGCCCTAGCCCTCCCTGACATAACATATGTGGCAACCACAAAGGCAGACTCAAGTTTACTGAATAACTGTGCTAAAAAAAAAACACAAAAACGGAGCTGGGGGAGACCAGGAGTCAGAAACTCCAGCTCCAACAGCTCTGGTATGACTTCCTGCCTGGCTTTAAACAAATCCACTTTCCTTTCCGGGGTGTAGTTTCCAGGTGTAAAATAGGGGAACTGATCTTTTTAAATCAATGATCTCTGACTCATTGCTTCCTTTTGCTTTGGTAAACCTACCGAGGCTCAGATGATCTAGGCTGAAAGCTTTTTAAGGGATGAATATCCAGGACAGAAAATGGTCCTGCCAACAAATTCCATTCAGACCCACAGAAAACAGCTCTCCATATGTGTGAGAAGACCAAGATCCCATTACTGATTTCCATTTGCCTCACTTCCCAGGTTTTGTTCAAGTGGGAAATGGAGAGCCATGTGGCTCTGTCCATTCATATCCAAACAAAAACAATTTTGGAATGACCAGACCATGGCACCATGGATCCGAATGGCTGTACTTCAGATCAGGGCACCTGTTCTGGATGTATGCAAGTAGGGAACTCCAGATACAGGATGCTGATCTCCAGGCTAAAAGGACCTCGAAGTCCATCTGACCGTGATCTTTAACAACATCTCTAAAAAGTTCTGCGTAAACATCTCAAATACCTGGAGTAGTTGCTGGATGAATGGAACCAAAATCTTTGTCCTTGAAATTTCCAACCTTTGGCACTGGTTCTGCCCATCTGGAACACACGTGCTCCACCTACCTCTGTGACAACCCTCCTCCCCCAGTCTCCCCTTTCCAGAGGACATGTCAAGGGCCTGCTACCCCTGCCCACACAGGAACTTGACCCGAGCACGTCTTAGAGCCCTGGTTGGCATCTGCTGGGAATACAGGGGCTGCCGCAGACTTTGCAGGTCTCAGGCTCGCCCTTGACCTCCTCTCTCAGCCCTGGCCCATCAGGGACACAAAGGCCAGTGTCCACTCACCCAGGGTAGTGCCACACAGAGCAGCCCCAAGTGGAGAAACGTACCCAGAGTGGACTGCTCGGCCTGCACTCCTCGGTTTACCTCAGCTCAGATCCACTAGCCAACTGCTAAGTTGTCTAAAAGCCAAATTTATCTTTATGCCCTTTAAAATTAAAAATTCATGATGAATATCATTGTAAGTCCACCCTCCAAGATTCCCACATGAATCCTTTTACCAGACACATAAGGCAGAGTAGATTTTCTGGCTGTCTAGGCTCCAGTGATCGGGAACAAGTCTTCTGTCCCCACTGCACCTCTGCCCCAGACTGACTGTGTGTAATTTCTGGGGGAGGAAATTGGAGGACGAGGCTCTAAATACAAGCCCTGTGCCTTGGCAAACACTCCTTTCTCACACTCCTTCTCCTCAGCTTCAAAATTCACAGTTAACAAAAATATTAAATGCCAGAGCATTTCAGGTATTTTGTTAAATTCCTCCAACGAGAAATACTGTTGTATAATAGTAACCTCTGAGATTTAAGACCGTATAAACAGAACAGCTGCTATTTCTGTTTCAGATGAAGCCACGATCCCAGCTGGGAGGCATGCGTGACTGCAGGGCCAGGACAAGGACAAGGGCCAACTCTTCCCCCAGGTCGCAGCAGCCCACACGGGCCCTGCCTGGCATGTCTCATGTGGACTTTTGTGTGTGTGAAGAAAAGCCTTTTGTCCCTGCTCTGGCCACCCTGAGGCCAAGTATATAATACTTATATCTGCCCCAAATCCCAAAATCTATTTTAAAACCACATACTTCATCTGAAGTAATTTTCAAAACTGAAATGTCTTTTCTCTGTTGAAAATAAAAACCCTGTGTTAATTACTAAAAGTGTCTCTCAGTGTGAGACAGTTCAAGCCTTGACGTGCCAAGGCTCTCATTCCAAGAGTAGTTTCCTGTTTCCTGAAGGGTCCAAAAAGGCGTTTCCAGAGCTCAGTCCCCTCCTCCCCCAGGATGTCCCACTGAGTTCAGTCCCCTGTTTGTGCTGGGATGGGATCAAGAATCCCTTCAATTCTGGAGCCCAGTCACAGTAAGGGAGCCAGTGGAATGTGTGGGCTGGGATTGGGGCCGGAGGAGGGGGGAGGCGGGGGGGGGGG